TACACTGGTATGAAAGACATGGCTACTGATGTCAGCAACCATAATATATGTGAAGCAAAATTTAAAACATCTGTGTGTACAATCTTTGTACACACAGATGTTTACTTCTGTTGCCCACAAGTAAAAAAAAATCTCCCCTTTGTAGGCTTGCTGGTTTCAAGGGGAATCCATGATCTCTGATTCCACTCACTTTTGGCACCGCACAGTTAATGGAGTGTGCACTCTAGTCATCCCCACTTGTGGAGCTCAAGACAATGTAGAATACATTCTGGTGCTGGAAAACCCTCTGGGGATGGTCAAGTGTACCTGTAACCTAGTAGTGTATGGTAGGTTCTACAATGAGAGAGGGTGGAGAGTGAAATAATTAATAATTTATAATGATATTACCTTACTAAATATATATCTATATGTTAGGACTTTCAGATAAAGATGACAAGGGTCTGCTGGAGAGCTTCCTGACTAATCAGAAAAACAAAGAGATGCTTATTTTGGAAGGAGTCTTCTATAATTGGCCACTTCACTCATTCTTACATTGCTGTTGGCATTTTCACTCATTTTGGTTTGACTAAGTTCTGTATATCACTGATTATAATTGTTAGGCATGTTGTAGTTTTCCGTTTTCATTTTTTTCAATTCTGGTAATACTTTTAACAAACACTAGAGGTCAGACTCTCACTCTTCCTTCAGGAGTGGCTAAATGTTTGGTATGTTTGGGGGTTGCTCGTCATTAGTCAGCTCATTCAGCCAGAGAGATTGTCTTTTATCTTTAGCTCACAAATGCTTTTCTGTCTTAAAAATAAGAAAGACAGAAAGACAGAAAGAAAGAAAGAAAGAAAGAAAGAAAGAAAGAAACTTTTTTCTTCCTCCTGACTCTGCATCAGGCCACCTAGTAAAAAAAAACCTCCAGTTTGTTGCTCTAGTTTTTGTGTGACCTTAAGATTCAAACGAAACTAAGTTAACTCACGGTACATGTTGCACCACATCCACAACAGACAATAGTGTGAGAATAGTTTTCTGCCAATTATGCAAAAGGCCACAATTTAAAGCTCACTTATCCCCATAGCTTACTTTGCGGATCTGTATCATGTAATTACAATGACCTGTGCTTGAAGGCAGGCTGGAGCCGTTGTCAGATATCTTTCTTTTCTTGCACACCCAGCATTGCTTCGCGTATTGGACTGTGCTTTAAAAAAAAAAACAAAAATCAAAGTTGCCTCAAGATGCATTTCAAACAAAAACAAGAACTTGTGTACCTCAAAGTGCTACAGGGCCTCAGGTACAACTACATTTTTAGCACAGTCTGCACGGATCCATTTTCACTTCTTCGTTTTTGGTTGTCTTTTGTTTTGAGGTTTGTTTGGTTTTGGGTTTTTTTGCTTAGTTTTTTGTGTCTTTTGGCCAGTGACACTAATCTGCAGCCGATTTGAGGTCAGGTGATCAACTTTGCATGCCAGCTGCTTGGCCACTGCTTGCATGCTAACTTACTGTATTGCTTTACAATGCAATGCCTGTATAAAGGGTGTGTATGAATCCAACAGATTCTACTTTCAACCATAACGTCCACTTAGCCACAGTGTTATCCATTCCTTTTAAATCCAGTGCTTTAAAAAATACCAGATTACTTTTAATCTGCATATCCGAAAGTCTCTTTAAAAGACATTACCTCAGAGCGGACTGCTGCTGCTTGAGACTGAGTGTGGTCTGGTAAGGAGCTGCCAGCCTGACAGAGAGGGGTTACAACCCCTCTCTATCCTTGCGTCACTATTGCTGGCGCCCACAACTCCATTTGTATAGACCCACCAGAGGACTGGCAGTCAGACTGCCAGGTTCAAATCAATTAAGCACCAAAAGGCACTAAACTGACGTCACAGGTACCTTCCGCTTCTCCCCTATTCAGCTAAGCCACAATAAAGTTGAAATACCGTGGAGTGAAACTTTGAATGGTTAGTCTCGGCATTTCAAAGAAACTAAAGGCTGCTGCGCTCAAACGGAACTTGATTCTTGTGCATTTCTAATAGATTTCTTTGATGTTTTATTGCATCACATTTTCATTAATGTGATTAAGTTTTGTTTTTTAAAAAAAAAAGAAAAAAAAAAAGAACTTTCTTCACTCTTCAGGAGTGACATTATTTCATCAGTTTCATGTATATTTCGTGTCTCACGAGTTCTGTTTTTATAAGGGCCATAAAAGAGATACTTTATTTCTTAGAAGACTGGACTTCTTTGATGGCAAGACTTTGGCTGCAAATGAATGGGACACATTTGAAAAGAACTGGCATGGATTCAGCAGGACAAAATTCTTAAGATGTCTGTGTGCATGTTGAGGAAGAAAATACAGACAAGGTAAGGTAACAGGAAGCTGAAATGGAAGAGAAACAGAGAGACTTGTTGGTAGAACTCTGACTGAGTTTTCACAGGGTTAACTGCTGTTGAAAGCACATTTCCCTCGGCCAGACAATACTGCACAGCAGCTACTAGAACAGAGCTCTCTGTTGTCCTCCAGTTCATTCTGTCTGTAATGGTACTTTACTGCTGAGGACCATCAGCTTCAGTAGAAACACAAAAAACCAAAGCGTTATAAACATCTGCTGACATTTTCAATGCAGTGATCCTAGGGAAAAAAAAAAAAAAACCAACAACAAAGGAAAAAAAAAAAAAAAAGACATTTTGCTGAACTTGCATTGTAATTGCATTTATTTCTCCAATAGTTATTCACATTCATAGCAGTTTCACTACAGGAAAGAAACTATTTCATCTCTACAGTCATGAAAGAAAGAAATCACAATAAAGTGAAAAAAATCAAGGACAACAAGGTAAAGCACGTCATTGAATTAAAAGAAAAGTGAAACATTCTTTCAATAAACGGAATTCAAATTCTGCGTTGCAAGGGACCTTAAAACAAGAATTAAATAATCTGTGGGAAACAAATTTGGCTTTTCCCACATTGACAGGCAAAACACTTTGGGTTTTCATTTTCTGCAAATGAAAGGATAACACTTTAAAAAAAGATTTATACATCAAGGTAAGTAACACTTAATTAAAATGAATGTCTTTTAAAGAAAACACATGACTCTCACATGCTGATTTGTCACTTTCAAAACACTAACTTTTCAAGAAAAAATGAAAGGAAAAATGAGCATATACTTTAGAGGATACAGTACACAATAATCCTTTGTTAATAACACTTTCACTGCTAGGTTTAAGGAGAGATCAACTGGCCTTACTTTGGGTACAGAAAAGTGCAGAACATGGTGAGGGGGAGGGGGGTAATTTTACAAAGATATTTATTTCCACATATTTCTCTTAAGCTCATACTGATGTTGCAGGGCTGTCAGTTGTAGTAAAAAAAAAAAAAACCAAAAAAAAAACCCAAAAAAAAACCCAAAACCCACAAACATTGGTGTTGATGTGGAGGAGTCACATCAGCCCACTAGTCATGCATGATAAATATACAAACTTTACAGCTATCTGTTTTGAATGCAACCCACTTCATAATCATGAGCACAGTGCATTAGCAGCAAAGTCTTCAAATCAACAATCACAAGAAACAACAGCAAAAAGAATTCAGCAAGAAAACTTCTAATCAAAGAAAAGTGCTAACCTATTCAGAGGACCAAGTGAAACCACAGGACTCACTGTGGAGACCTCTGACAGCTCTCTCTGGTCCCTTTTATATGCGCACACAAAGCTTTGAACAACGGGCCGTTGACAGACTAAGGTAAACTGATGCGCCTGCTGGCCTGCCATCTGTGGGGGAACAGGGTGGTAGCTAACAGCTTCCCCTCTGTGTCATATTTCACCTTGTAATTTAATTCAAGCTACAATATCACCCAATAATAACCTCCGTCCTCAATGAAAAAGCTAAAAGCAATCCTGCACCAGTGGTGGTGGTGGTGGTGGTGGTGGTGGGGGGGGGGGGGTGGGGGGATTTCTCTGTCACTTGTGAAACAACAACAGCTGGTTTGACACATGAGAAACCTCTAATGTTGACAAGTTCCACTCAGTCAAATGAGTTCAGTTTTGAATTATAATTTAAGCTTGGTTTCTGGAGCCCAAATCAAATAAAAGCAGATACTTTAGAGAAGAAACAGTTTGGCCAAGAAGAAATATCTCAAAAATAAATGCTCTGTACTGTAGGAACAACAGTCAGGAGGCTTTGTGTAGCAAAGGACAAAGAAGGAGGTGCCCACAGAAATTGCCCACATAGTAAGGATGAGTAAGACTGCTTGACTAAGTCCCGCCATCCCTGCATGGTTTACTTGAGGCCATGTACTAGAGTCTGTGTTGGCTAGCATCTCTACTTGCACTCCACTTTCTTTTAAGACTGCTATCAAGCTTCGGTGGACGGCTTTTAGCACAAAGGCGGCCGATATTAATTGTTGACAGAACGTGCTCCATCGGTGATGAAAACAGGGAGAGAACTGCAGAGTCAGAGTCTGCAGTGCTGGGAGGACAAATTAAAACACGCAACAGAAGAAAAGTGGTCACACGACCAGACTGATGGAACATTTCTGACTGACAAAGCAGAAACATTGTGCTGACAAGCATAGTGACAGGCTGAAAGAATATTGAGGAACTTTCTGGCAAAGCAGTAGTCAAGAATAGCCACTTGTGCCAAGTGTCTTTCTCGGTCAAAGCAAAACTGCGATACTGATATTGATAAAAACCTTGATGACAGTCAACACCATTGTCTGCCTGCAGATCTGTCATGGTGGCTAAGGTGATGCCTAAACACCTTTTGAAGTGTTTGAATGTGTGTGGGTTTTTTTGTGGTATGTTTTGTTTTTGTGCGCATGTAGCTGCTGACAGCTGTTGGGGTCAATGACCCGGCAGAAGAAACCCATAACATGGGCTTGTATTTTTCCACGGTTGCTTCATAAACAATATATACACAGCATCACATCTGAGAGTTTCATTATTAAACTATTGCGCTAAATATGTTCCACTGTCATGTTTAACAGTGATTAATAATTTAAATGTGTGATCAATCAGATTTTTTCCTCCACCAGCATATAAACAGGAGGCATGTCCAGCAATGGAAATTGTCACTATTAAAACACTAGCCTAAAGTTCTTAACTGACAGTAGATCTGCAGTCTGTTACAAAGCTGCAGTTCTGAAGAGGCGATGGGCATGAAGATGGTTTTAAGAGCATTGTGATAATACAATAAAAATACCCAGTAGTGTGTGTACTTCATAGAAACTCTGTTGGTTCACAGCATTTCGGGCCTTGAGTTGGTTCTGATTTGCCACAAGAACACACAGATGTTTAAGCAACAGCTAAGAAAAAAAAAAAAAAAAAAAAAGCAGTGTACGCACTCTCACACATATGCAGACGCTCAAAAACACGTGCAAGTGTAGACATCTGAAGAAAAAGTTGCAGTGTAATTCTTAAATATTCAGTAAGACACCTAGTTTTAAAATAAATAAAAAATTGCAGGGGACAAAACAAACGAGAGGTGAGAAGCAGAAATATGTAAGAGATGAAAGACAAAATAGGAGCCAGCCTGTTAGGGATTAGCTGTGGCGGATTTTGCAGGATTAAAGCTGATGAAGTGTCCTGTGAGAGGGAATTATTGGGAATAATGGGATAACTGTTTCCTCACATGACATGCCAGTTCCCTTGTCTTCCCTATTTTTTTCCATTTTGGTTTTTCAGTTCGTTTTGGCTGCCTTAAGGACAAAGCGCACACTTTTGTGCATGTATGTGTGCATTTCATTATGAGCGAGTGAGCCCTTTCCCAGGGCCCTGAGAGACACACACAGAGTTGATAAACAAAAAGATTCCATCCTGTAACATAGCCCTTCTTTTCAGTCTTCATAACATTGCTATTAGGCCAAATAAGCGCATGTCAGCTGATCCATTCTAGCAATAAGATCCCCATGAACTTTTTCCAATAACTAACACAGCAGGAGCTGTGGGTGTCAGGTGTGTGTACGTGGTAACATCTGCACCTGCGTTTCTTAAAAAGCTGCTGGTGGGGAAAACAAATTCCTGGTGGACTTAACACCAAAAGGAGAAGCAGGTGCACACTACACAGCAAGTAATAATGTGTGCAGTAGTCTGCTGTGACTATAGTATTTAGTGTGTTCTCTTTGTGACAGTGGGACACTGACAGCAGTGTGAATCTCAGGAGAAAGCTAAACTTCTTCCCCATCCAACGTAAATGTTCAGTCATGAAACTTACAGTACACACTGGTTTGTTGACACCCAAATTTCCCTCCCTGAATTTCAGCCTTATTGGTTTACTTTTTATCATTTTTTAAGCTGTGCATCTAGTTATTCGAGGACATCATAGAAGAAAAAATACTTTAAAAAATACGTTGATGATGACTTATGAAAGTGTAGAGGGGCAGGATTGTTATAAATAATATCAAGGGGATCGCAGATAACGAAAACAGGTTTGGACAAGCTTTTAGAATAGCACCCTTAATTAAGGGGAACACAGAGCAACAGAGAATGGAAAAAATATGTATATGTCGGTATTAAAAAAAAAAAAACCCTCCCTTTTTAACAACAACAAATAACAAACTAAATGTTAAATAGTAATGCTGGACAACATAAAGCATACGTCTGTGCTGGGAGTGTGAGGTGTGTGAAAGGACTGTGTGCGAAGCGAGGTAAAAATCAAATACATCAACGCACACAGACCCCATTGCTCTCCCATACACACTCCTTGAAGGTGCCCAGTGACATGCTTCCATTAGCCAGTTAAAAGTATGTAATACTCTCTACATAGCAGGTTAATATTACTGCACTTATCACCTTTGTAACTAGTTTGAAAGCCATTCTATCTTTAGAGGAGGCAGGTAGGACTGTTGTTGGGTGAGGCAGAAGATAATACTACTGTATCTTCTTGGTTAGAGGACACATGTGAGATTACAACGCTAATGGGTCAGAAGGGTGATGTAAAGGCTGTAGTGGCCCAGCGGTGTTTGAGCACCACACTGAGATGAAGGCTGGGGGCTGGGAACCTGGCAGTGAGATGTGTCCATAATCACATGGTTTGGAGACTGCTGCAACTCATGTTCTCTTCCTGGCCACCTCCACGTCCTGGCACTCAACAGCTGACAGTGCTATGAGCATCTGGGCAGCGTAGTAGGTGGCCATGATGATGGCTCGCGAATGGGGCACAGGGAAGCAGAACTTGTTGACTGCAATGGTGAGGTCGGAGACCATGAAGAGCACGGCACCCAGGCAGGCAGACAACTTGGTCCAGGTCCACAGGTCATTCGCCAGCTGCAAACCTGCGATGGCCCTCCAGCCCATGAAACCAATTAGGGCGATGTAGACGGCCACCAAGTAGGTGAAGGGGCCAGAGAGGTAGGGGTACAGCAGGATATAGCACAGAAAGGATACAGCAGTGATCACCAGCCCAGCACGCACATTAATGGGCTTCATCCCAAAAGCAGAAGAGTAGAGTATATGGGTAATGGCAAACATCAGAAGGCCTGTAGAATATTAAATAATACATGAAACCATAATTAGGTTTTAATACAAGTTGTTTCCATTGAGTTTTATTTAGTCTTTCTAATGGTTCTGATTAATGTTTTCAACGGGCTCAAAAGGCCAAGAAGCCAGGAGGAGTCAGGTGATAAAACAATTCCTGAACCAGGGGTTATGTCTGTTAATATTTGATGGCCGTTTACAACAGACATTTTTTTAAATGGACACACCTAGACATTTATTGTTATATGGTTGAATTACATCTGATGAGATAATTGTTAAAATGCAGAACTTTTCCTCACCATGGACAAAGTAGCCCTGCTCCTGCCAGATGAGAAAAGCATCACCCAGAGCAGAAAAGATTAGACCAGCCAAGATCTTGCGGGCACTGGAGTGAGCACAGAGAAAGGTGAAGCCATGAGCCAGCAAAAACACCCACAGGCAGAAGATGGGCAGGCATTTGATCAAGGCGCTGAACCAAGATGGGCTTGAGGTGGGCAGCCACAGGACAAAGTATACACAGGTTGCTTTGAAGAATGGCACCAATTTAGGGCCTTCGCTCTTGACCTGAAAGTAAAATGAATAGTTACATTAATAACTGAAATATAGTTGCAAATACATGTGATGCTCTTATAATCATTGACTTAACCTCTTAAGCCCCAAGCCTACCTGATGTCCTGCCTTTTGCCTCCGTATCAGGGGGCGTTGGGGCTTAAGAGGTTAAAATAGATGCATTTTCTGTTTGAGCTGCATAGTGTTATATTTGTGAATAAAGGAGGGAAAAAAAACAAGTAGTGAGATTTAAAACTGCTGATTTTGTGTGGCCATTAGTTTCTTGCCGTCAGCCATACGTACACGTGTCACTGAAACCAAACTTTGTGGGAAAAGGCTGTCGAAGGAAATGAGAACGCTCCCAAACTGTGACTCCTAGTAACCTTTAAATTTCTCCTTTTTGCAACTAATTTTATTATGTTGTTTTTCTTTCTCGTCTGGTTTACCTTCTTCCTCGTACATGAAGTTACTGAGAACTGTGAAGTGTAATCATCACTAAAGTTCCTCTTTCCAACTGTGTTACCAGTCATATTTATTTTTGTCCAAATAGATGAGGCACACAACACACATACAAATTCAGAGTATGAAAAAGTTTCACAAAACCCCTGGAATGATGAGCCACCGGTGATTCTGAGAATCACTTTTGAGGCAGGCCTGTGGGATCAAAAGGCAAAAGAAAAAAGAAAGTGGGTGAGGTGGAAGGGAAAGGCACTGAGTGTGGGTTCACTAGAGGTGAGATCGCTGGACGAGAGAAGAGTATATGAATAAGGCGGGAAGAGGAGGAACAATGGGTCATAGTGCAGCAAGGAAACGTTTCAAAAGACTGGGCAAGAACTGCTGATTTGATGTCCCAAAGGGCTATTTTACAGCGTGTTTTTTGCATCCTACCCTGATATATTCAGTGGTAAGCAAAATGATGTAAAAAAAAAAATAAAAATAAAAAAAAAACCCACACAACAACAACAACAAACAAACAAAAAAAAGCCCTGGCATGGTTGCAAAGTTCAAAAGAGAAAAAAAAGGAAAGAAAGGGCAACTAGGACAAAGAGAAAGGAAAATAAGAAGAAGCACAAATAAAGAAGCCTTAGGGGAAGAAAACAGTGAATGAGCTGGTGTACCACCATTCAGATGGCAGCTGGATGTAGTAGCAGAGGAGGAGTAGGATAGAGACTGAAGGATCTTACAGTTTATTACTGTGAAGGAAGGTAGAAAGGAACAGACCAGAAATGCACAATTCTTCAAAAAAGTAACAGATCAAATGACAGTACAGGATCAACTGAAGTGTTCAGTTTATTTTAATTCAATTTTAGTTGTATACTGCCAATTTGCAATAACAGTAGAATGAATGTGACTTATAGCAAGGTAAACCCCTACAATATTAACTGGAAAACCCTAATGATCAGACGATTCCCTGTGCTGAAGCACGCGGAAACATGGAGAAGGAAGAAGGGGGTGAGGTTTAAGTGACCGAGTTTAGGTGACCCCAAACCTACTCTAGAGTACCTGATAGACTACCAGCAGGAAAACAACAGGGATCTGACGCACAAGTTCATACAGTCATGAGCATATTGAGCTAAAAGTAGGACAGCAAAATAACTATTGCCTGGGTTCTCCAGTATTAAAAGCAGGATGCTGAGAAGATCATTTGCATGTTCCCTGAAAGCATGCCAGACTAGGAAGGCACTTTGACCATTTTTCTAAATGTATTCAACAGTCTGCTTCAGGGAGGATGCAACAAACACATTACTTCCAAGGGCTTGTGTGGTGCAAGGACACCCATTGAGAATGAGACAATAGAGGAAAAAGGCAGTAATGTATCTGTCTAAATTTCCTGAATTATATGGTCTCCAGGAAAGCCCTCGCTTGGAAACAGGTTTCCATCAGGTAGATATGCCAGGAGTGTGTTTTAGCACTCAGTTAGCTATATGTTTATCCACTGCTTACATGTGTTATATGATCCTCCCAGGAGCTCTGCAGACCTACTAAAGCTTCATACACAACATTATTTGATATTGTTCCATAGTCACAATATAAGTTTTAGCTAATTATATATATCCTTAAGATGTGATTGCAGAGTGTATGAAGATACCTAGCACACACACACACACACAGAGCTTCTGGATACCTAGTGGTCTGCGTGCCAAGATTGGACATTTACTTTTAAACTCACCTCTTAAGCCGCTTCAGCATATGGATTACAATACTAAAATTACCCCTGATTATTACTTCAAATTCTTGCGTTATAAAGTACTTTTAGTTAGATGTATCCTGTAAAAATAAAAGTTGTTTCAGTCATTTTTCTTTGAATATTTAGGCTTCCTACCAAAATGGCAAAAAGAGAAGTAACAATACTTGCTCTGCCACTTTTTCACTCTGACAAGATTAAGATAAATTTCAGCAGTTTTGTTTTCTGCTTTCACAATACATTTAAGATGAATATCAGTCTCCTCTAGGTACAAGTGTAATGCTGTTTTCCACTGCCATCAAACCAGGGCTAGGTATATAATGGGAACTAATGCACTCCTTTCCATTATCCACTTTGCTGTACTTGTACAGTGAACCTATCTATCACATTAAGGCCACATAGGTGGCGAGGCAAGGAGACGGCCCTGGCAACACTCCCAGACTAACCGATATGAAAATTCTGCTTAAAAAGCCAGGGTTGTCTTACTTTAGGACAGAGCACAAGAAAACACCACATGCCATATCTGTTACACTCCTGGGACTCAAGGATGACTTTAGGTATTCTCATTACACATATAGCAGTTAGTTCTTATTAAATAAGGTCCAGTGAAAACAGTTTACTATGCTCAATAAGGCAGTGTCAGTTTGATTTCTATCTACAGACAAGACTAATGATTGGTTTGGCACTTAAGAAAGGAAAGGAAGTTGGGAGGAAGTCAGTGATTCCTATAACCTTTAGTCTGTTCTATGCTGGGTTTGAGATACTTTTCAGTTTCGTTTTTTATTCTTTGCCATCCAATCATGGCATGTACACGCTAAACAAAATCCTTTAAGAAGGAGAAAGGCATAACTAAAATAGGATTTGAAACATTTATAACATAATCCTTTAAGCCTTCTAATACAATTAGGCTTCAATTTTGTTACAGTGTTCTATAAAAGAAGTTTCATTTTGCTGACTTAGATATGAATCCAGGTTATGATAGTATCAGGAGTTCAAGTATTAATTTCTGTCATATCCTAAACAATTGCTGCTGTAATATTTCCCCACCCCATTAAAATGTGATTGCACAAATTTTTCCATCAGGAAAGCATAATTGCTTGTGGGAATCCATAAACTGCTTTATACCAGTTTTAATGGGTTTCTTGCTCAGATGATCAGCATTGTTCTCCTGTTCAGTTTCTTGTACTTGACTGAAATTGGTGGAGTTATGTAGCACACTATCATCTCAACTGTAAACCAGTCCACTCTTATTCGTGGAGGCGTCAGTTTGTCTGTGGGAGCACTGAAGACAGGGACATTAGTGATGGCTGTTAGTCCTGTAATAGCCGGCTGTCGCCAGAAAAAAAAAAAAAGGAGAACATAATACCTCACTTAAGAAGCAAAGAAAATGAATCATTTCATCATCATTTATCTGTCTAAATGATCACATTATAAATAAAGGATGTTTGCAAAAGTGCAGGACCATATAAAGCTGAACAGCTACACACCTGCTCCTGTCCTCTGTTAAACAATAATACTGTTAATGATTGACTATATTTGCATGATTAGTCAATACAGATCGACTGACCTTTAAAAGGCACCTCGTATCCTAAACCAAAGAAAAGACAATTTGTTCTTTCTTTTTTGTGTCCTTTTGAAGTACAGAAATATGGCGCCTCTAAAGTCTGCACAGCTGGCATGTGAGTCTTATGACAATGTTATTTCTACGAAGCATCACACAACTCTGTTTTTTCCACCTTTGATCTGCTTTAGCTCAACAAAGATGACTTGAAGACATTTGGGGATGCAGACTAGAAAGGAATACAACCTTACTGCTGCACTGTATGACGTCTTGAGTTCCTGACGTAAGAGTAAAAACTTCAGTTTCTGATAAAAAAAAACAACAACAAAAAAACCCCCACTATGGGCAGTGGATGTGCTGATGCCTCTACAGATGATCAATATAGCCAAAAATAAGCAAATCAAGTTAAGGCAAGCAACGTGAGTCAAAGTCTTTGGGCAGTACAGATTGGTTTCAGACTGCATGTGCTCTGCCTGTTTGAATGGTTCCTTGACATATCTAGATTTAAAAATGTTCATAGAGTCCCTTATAAGGACAACATTCTGCTCACTGTTGTAAAACTGAGTGTAGTACTGTGTTTAAAAAAAACATACCAAAGAATCAAGCAGGAACTATTGAACTGCATCTAAGTAAAACTGAATAATAGCAGCCTCCAGTGGGACAATAATCACGTTTACTTCTGAACAGGTACTGGCAATTATCAGACACTAACACACCAATATATTATAATTTTTCAGCATCAGAAAAACAACCCTGAATAAAAGCATACATCTTTTTCTCAGCAATGCTGGGACCCTAATAGAAATAAAGGAAAACCAGGACCTGCACAGTATCTTCATCACTAAGGAAACTAGTCTGTATGGCAGGCATTCCTTCACACAGGCTTACACACCCGGGTTTTCTACAGGCCAACTTACAATGAACCGTCCTTCATGGCCCCAGCAAAGGGGGTAAAATTTCATAGCAGCTCTGCTAGAGCAAGATGATGCTCCACCTGCTTAAATTATTCATGTAGTTATCAGCTTTTTTGTCAAAATGGACGATTTCCAGGTGAGGTCCATTATTGAGCCAATAGATACGCCAAACAATAAACTCTATATAAAGCACAGCTACAACAAGGGAGATGAAAAGAAAGCCAGAATCGACCACAGCTCGGCGCATGCGTTACTGGAGGGTAAGGAACGGAAAAAAAAGACAAAAAAGGTCGTGGCATGACAGCTTTTTCTTTTTTGTCAGGGATAGCCTTTCGAAATTTGTGTATGTTCAATACCGAGAAGGAACAAGCGAGCAGCGTCGCTGCTGTGCCAAAAAAGGGAAACGGCTAGACGGAAACAAGAAAGTTTCTGCCTTGTGTCTGCACAAACACATACAGATGGACACTATTTAATGACGAGAAAATGAGATAGCTGCGTGAGTTACCGCGAGCACCTGAGCGAACGGTTTTTCATTTAGCAGACGCGCTTATTTACTGGCAATTAAATAATGAACCAGAGAGCATGCGCTGGCCTTCCGAGATAAAGTATGACAAGATATGAATAACAACGAAAATGCCCCAGTAAATGCTTGAATAGCAGCTCGAGGCAGTCGACAATGCACACATTAAGGATGTTATCTTCGGAAGTCTCGTTATTGTATCACTAGCTTAACTAGCCGCTGTTTATTCCTGAATGCTTTAAATGGCCATTTGAAACTGGTACTTACCACTGTTACTGGAGAAACCATTTCTCCTTCGGTGCTGCCCGTGCCGCTTAAAAAGGATACACTGATTCGTTTGAGTCCTCTTGTTTATGTTTTACTGAGGACGGCGAGATGCCGATTGTTTTTGTCCTCGATCCTGTGGGCGGTCCGACATCAGAGAGGCAGTGACAGGCCTTTCAGTGTTGACCAATAGGTGCAGAGACTGGTCTTAGAGGGCGGGATAAGGCGTCAGGCGACGCCCTGATAGGAGGAGTCGGGGTTCCTTTTACATACCGGAGCAGATGGCCTTTATTTACATTCTACGGAAATGGAGCTTGATTTGTCGAGCTTGGTTTTTGATTGCACATCGACAGTTCAGCGTTAATTGGTCATATTGAGCGTTAGAGATGAGAAAACATTACTGCTGTATGGATGATGAATTGAAAGCTATTAATAACCACTTTTCTGCCGGAGCATTTTCAACTATGACACCTTATGCTCCTCTTTTTTGTTTTAATTCAATTAAATTCAGTTTTATTTAGTGCCAAATCACAGCAACCGCTGCTTCAATTTGCTTTGAGGTCATTGTCTCCAAACCATACGCCATGACAGGCCTCACTACTTTCTTGTCAACCTTCACTGTTGCTGCTGTCCTACTGTCACAAACCACTCCTGTCACTCCTCCCCACCTGCTCCAACCTGTGTGCGCTCCCTTCTTCAACTCTCTTGTGCACTGTCAATTGCTTTTTATGGCTGACCCCAGGTATTTAAACTAGTCCACCTTCACTACTTCTACCCTCTTGCCTTTACTGTAACACCTCTCTTTCTCTAATTCACACATGTATTCTCTTCCGACTTTCATTCTCTTTTCCCTGGAACATACCTCCACCTCTCCAGGATCTTGTCCACCTGCTCTCACTACAGATCACAATCTCACCCACACTTTGAAGTTATCTATCACCCCTACCACCTCACTACAGTCTGGCTTCATACATGTTCTCCACCACCTTCACAGGCATCTCTGCGACTACTTATGTGATACCAGTTTCTCATTTTCTCTAGCTCCACAAAGCTACAGTGCAGCTTCTGATCTTCTCTACACTTCTCTATCAACACCCTCAAAGCAAACATATTTTATTTATCTATCATTTTTTCTCTGCTTGAAGACATACTGCTACTCACCGATTGTCAACTCCCTTCTTAACCAAGCTTCCACAACTGTTTCCTAGCTAGCTAGCTGTCGTGGCTCAGCTTTATGCCTCTGTAGCAGGGGCGATTTTAGCCTATTCAAAATGAATCAAAGCACCCCCAAAGATTTCTTACTTTTTTAAAAGATATTTGCTGTTTGTGGGACACACTACTAAAAATATAAAAAGCATACAGTACTTAATTGAGATGGAACATTTTAACAACAAAAGTATAGATAACCCCTCCCCCCTCCCAAAATGGTTTGTTCCAGCTCGGCTCTCCCCTGCTCTGGCTCTAGCGCCGTTGCTGTGCCAGAGCCATAGTGGCTGCAGCGGAGGGGAGGTGGAAGTGCCTTGCTTAAAACAGGACATATTAGCTGCATTTAACTTTCGGTTACTCTTTATATAGTTAGGTAGGAGTCAGGCCATGTTTCTTTTTAGCTGAAAAACATTACACCCAGGTAACCTGCAGTGTTGAAAACTTGTTTTCCAATGATGTTTGCTACCCTACAAACCGTCCTCCTCTGTAGTAACATCAGCAATATTTGACTGTCCTGTTGATCTCATTGAAATGTATATAGCCTATTTAAAATCTAAAACTTAACATTGTCCGTAGCCTGCCGTTGTTACCACTGTTGCTACAACTGTTTGAAATGTAATGAGAGAAACTGTTTTTTTGTCATATGTGTATGTACCGATATTGAACCCTAACTGAAAACCTAACTAGCTAACTGACTAGTTAGTACCTTGGGTAATGTTGGATCAGTGTTTCAATATTTATATCCTTTATTAGATGTACATGTGGTTTGGTTATTTGCCTTTTGGTTGAAAGTACACTGAGAGAGGACTTTTTTTTATTAGTGATCTTAATAGTATTTTTTTAATCTAATTGAATACAATCTATTTGTGTATGATTGTCAGTCCAAAGAGGGAGAGAGGAAAGAGGGGAGCATGAGGAGAAAGTACAAGGTCAGGAAGAACCAGGTAAGAAAACAGACAGGGAGTACTAACAGGCAAAACAAAAACTGTTAAACTGGCAAAGAAAAAAAAACAAAACTAATTTTACTCATACAATCTGGAAGTTGTGTTCTCTCTAGATTAAAGCTGCTATACAGAATCTGCAAAACAAACTGGGTTGTCAGCCCTGGCACTGCATTACCATATTGAGCTTCAGTCAGAGGAAGTCACGGTTGCCAAAGACTTTTTGAAGCTCAAGAGTGAGGCTGGTGCCATTCCAGATATGTTAACATTGTACAATCTTCTGGATAATCAGATCTTCCCCACACTGAAAACTGTTATTCAGGTTGCCCTAACAAACCCAGTTAGCAGCTGTGGCTGTGGGAGGTCTTTTAGTGTCTTGAGTCAGCTCCATACCTGGCTGAGAAGGACCATGGGTCAAAGCTGACTCCAGCACCTGGCTGTGATGTCAGTTGAGAAAGATGCTTGAGAGACTTGACCACCAAAATGTGATAGACAGATTTGCCAACCTCAAGGTGAGGCGACATAGGATAAAAGAAAAGAAAAAATCTGCAGAGCCATAGTAGTATCTGCAGTAAAGATCTTTTCATACATTATACCATAGGCCAAGGTGTCTCAATTTTCCTAATTTTTTAATAATATTTTGTAGATTTCAAGGACTCTTTTATTTTTGGAGTGTATTTTTTATGTATCTGTATTATATTATACATACACTTTAAAAGTGAATCTCTGTCCAAAAAATGCACTCAGTTTACTTTTTACTCACTATGAGCATCATTTTCATCATCAGTTTTTTTTTAAATTCCAATCCATTCTTCTTTAGCAGCATTTAAATAACCTTTATCAGATTTGATGGTTTTGTTACAGACTTGTCAAAAAAGTGTTTTGCTTTTCTTTCACAAATGTGGGGATTAAATTGTGTTAAAATGTACAAAACAGTGATGTCATGTTTTGTGACGAGGACCCAGGCACAGAGAGACTTGATGAATTTAAGAATCTTATGATTTAATAAAGAAATTTGCAGACTTGCACAGAGAGGGTAAAATTATGATGACTGATAATGGAGATGAAGACAACAGACGATGAGGACAGGGAGGAACAGGGGTTTAAATGCACCAAGGAGACAGTCAGAGGGAATTTGGGACAACTGGAGACATTTAGGGATGCAGGGACTAACAGAGACAAGGAAGAAGTCTCATCGTGATGAGTAAAGTTTACCTTGCCTGGATGGGCAGCTCTCTGGGTGCTCAGCACCCCCAAAGCTCTGATCCTTGAATCGCCCCTGCTCTGTAGTAACGACACCTCTGTACGTACGTCACACTCTTGTTTTTGAAAAACAGTACCAATACACTTCTTCTCCATAGGCATCCACTCACTCTCCAAGATTGTTGTATTATCTTTTGTAAGCCTGTCCTCTTTTATTACATGATTTTTATTGTAAATATTTCCAACACTGGAAACAAGTTGTAGCATTCTCTGTGTTCTTTTTTGACCCAGACATAAACGTTATTTATTTATTTGACGAGGAAAGAAAAGACACGTGGAAACAGCTCTGTTGATACCTCGCATCAAATTTCTAGTGTTCTAGATTTCCACAGTAGTGGCGACACCATGTGGTCTGCAGCTGTCAAAACGTGTTCTGGACGGACATTGCGTAAGGAAACTATGGGGCCGAAAACGGAAGTGCTCCTCATACATGTATCCGGCAAGTGTATGGAGGAACTTCTGGAAGTCCCGTTATACGAACAGACAGTCGGTTCCTTTATCCACGATCAAGATGGATCACCGCTTCTCAAACAACGAGTTTCTATAAGACTGCATCTTATAGTGTATATAAGATGCAGTCTATGGGTTAGGAGGACCATGTGACATTTTCAGAGTCATCGTCCTGTCTTCAGCGGACACGCGTCAACAAAAATAAAAATAAATATTCGTATTTGGAAGTTAATTTGTTGGGTTATTATTTTGTTCGTGAAAATGAATCAAAAACTCGCTCATATATAAAATATTACACGAATACACTTCGGACTAAAACGTTTTCTGACTCGTACGCCCACAAAGCCGGATATACGCACAAGTGAGTCATCTTACTTCCGTTAGTAGCTCTTCGGACCTTTAATTTTCGTTCTACCCAGCTGCTAGTCTCTACTAACACCCGGCGTCGGTTGTGCTCGATTTATTTAATTTTTTGTTATTTGGAGGTTTTTGTCCATCTGTAGGTGCTGAATACGCAAATTTTGATGGGGTTTCCCTTAGTTTGGTGCGTTATCAGCGCAGAGCGGAAGTTCGCCTTTCGAGCTTTTTGGTTAGCTGACGTTAACGTTGCCAAACGTTAGATTAGCTAACTTTGCTAACGCGTGCTATTGTGAAGAAAGTAGGATTAACTACTCTGTTTGCAAATGTCCTACAGTAGACTTTTACTGATACAGTCGTTTGTTACAGCTGTCTGGCTAAGTAAAGTTTGGAAACGCCTGAAAGCTAAACAGTCATTCAGCACTCCTGCTTGAGTCTTCAAACAGCCAGCCTACATCGCCGACCGAAATGATGGATTTTGATAACATATTGAACATCGCCTCACAAAACCAGGGCCTCAGCAGTGTACAGGTGAGTAGAAGGCTCTCACTGGCAGACGTATTACTCAGGCCACTGAGAAAACTTAACATCTGTGGGTATGTGTGTGAAAAAACAGATCAGGGAGGGTCTGTTAATGTAGCCAACTTTCATTGTCGTCATACTGTATAGACGTGTACAAACATGCTACATTTTATTGTGACATTAGATTACCATTTTTGCTATATCATTATGGGGAGGACTGTAAATGTTAAACAGGAGTGTACACTTTCCCCATAAACTACAACTTGTATTGTATGTGTTCTTCTCTTTGAGCAGAAGAGATACAGTTTACAAGCTGGACCCCCGAAAAAGGACCCAAAGTCAAAGGGTGTAAATCCTGCTGCTGTGCAGGCACTTCTGAAGAAGCAAGTCACTGAAAACAAAAAGAAAGGTATTAATGAGTTAATAACTGTTAAGTTTCTAATGCAGAATATTGGGATTTATTAGTTATGGACTGTTGTATACAGATTGTTCTTCATTCATTTTGTGTGTGTGTGTGTGTGTGTGTGTGTGTGTGTGTGTGTGTGTGTGTGTGTTTTCCTAGAATGGGAAATGAAGAAACAGAAAGAGGAGCTATTAGCCAAGAGGGTTGAGTTAAAGTCAGACCGTAAAGCGCGTGCCATGGCCTCCCGAACTAAGGATAACTTCAAAGGCTACAATGGTGTCCCAGTGGTAGAGGTTCCCAAAAAGAGGAGATCAAAACATGATATGCAGGAAGATGACTTGAATGGGGGAAGTTTTAGGAATAATACAATTGACCCAGAGGATGATGAGGACAACTACGAGTATGAACAGACAGATTCAGAGCCAGAGTCCGAGCCCGAGCCACTGAGGCCTGGAAGAATAGCGGGTAATAGTAGCAGTAGTAGTGGCAAAACCTCTTCTAAAAAAAACAATGGGCCATCCAAGCCCCCTGCACCTTCCATGAACTTTGCTGACTTGCTCAAATTGGCAGAAAAGAAACAGTTTGAACCAGTTGATCTAAAACCCAAAGTAGTGAAAAAGGAGGAAAGGCTGCGCACAGCAGATGAGATAAAGGAACTGGAGATTGAGCGCAAGGCTAAGAAACAAGATAAAAACTCAAAGGCAGACAGAGGAAGAGATGGGAAGTCTCAGTCTGGTTATAGTTCAAGTCAAAAAAATACTTTTGAGAGGGAACAGAAGAACAGCAGACCACAAAAGATCTGCTTAGAAAAACAAAGTGTGCCCAGTGGGTCAATAAAGAAGTCACAACCAACAGTATTTAATGATACAGGCCTCTCTTTTTCCAAACTCTCTGGTAGTGATAGAGAAAGAGAAAGAACCAAGCTGTCTTGCAGTGATAAAGAAAAATCCAAGACAAGCTTGTCTAATTCATCAGGTGTCATAAACAGTAAAGTACCTTCAAAAGCCATGTCATCTCAGGTTTTAGCCAAACAAGGGGCCCCAAAGCCCTCGTCTAGCCACAAATCCAGCACCTTAAGTGACCTTAGCTTCAGAAGAGAAAGCTCGTCATTACTTCAAGGAAAAGTTTCAGGTATTCCTGGGAACAGGCCTTCTGGTACAGCTGGCACAGGCCAGAAGTCCAAACAGGTGAGTTCTCAACAGATTAAGCCTAGTCAGGGTAGCTCCTCAAAGCAGGGACCCACAAATGGAGACCCCAAGTTCGGAAGGGGAGAACCACCACGGTCTGGAATGAATTCTGCAGCAAAATCAGGTGGAAATTCAGTGATGAGACCTTCTTTGAGTGGCCCCCCTAAGGCTGGGAGCCAGCCTCAGTCAAAAACTGGAGGAACATCTGGTAGTGTGCCAAAGGCCAGGCCTGGTGGTAGTGGCCTTCAAGGTCATCCTGGAAGTATTGTATCCCGACCTCAAGGAAGTGGACCAGGTCGGCCTGGCAGTGGAGGACTTGTACCAGGAAGACCAACTAGCAGTAGTGGATTAGGACCTGGAAGACCAAAGTGCACTGTAGTGTCAGAGACCATCTCATCCAAGAATGTTGGTGGACCCAGGCCAGGCATGCCACCTCGGCCGGGGATGCAAGGCATGCCACCTCGGCCGGGGATGCAAGGCATGCCACCTCGGCCGGGGATGCCAGCTCGGCCGGGGATGCCACCTCGGCCGGGGATGCCACAGAGACCTATGATGAACAGACCACCAGGTAACAATCAGAGTGAAAATAATGATATGAAATTAAGTTAAGTTAATCATGGGTTCAGTTACGGACACTGCTTAGTGTTTTAGTCACGAGGATATTTAGTAGTGTTACAAATAGCCTGACGAACATAATCCAGAAACACTAAGCACCATACAAAGAACTTCTCTCTACATTTTAAATAACATTCAACATTTGAACTCTTATTGCAATGGTTACCTGTAACAAAACAAGCAAAAAGTATTTGTAGGTCAAATGTATAGGTCATATAAATGGTGAGTATTTCATATTATAGTGTAATATGTGTATGTATGTATGTATGTGTGTGTATATGTATATATATATATGAGAGAGAGAGAAAAAACAACTTCCCGTAACCCACAAGCAACACAATACAAAGGAAATTGTATTATACATTGTGCACACAGTAATAAAACCCATCAGCGTAATATTGTGTTGACTGCTGCAAAACAGCTCTTACCCACTGGAGCATGATCATGGGACATCTGGGGGGTGTTACATTGTGTCTGTGTCAGGACACTGACTGTGGATTGTTTGGACCGTGTGGATTGCAGGGTGGGGTCTGTGTGGAAAAGCATCAATTCCAGCAATCCTAAGCGGCATAGGCTAGAATTATTATATTATATTTAAAATTGCTAACATTTGCTAACAGCCTGAAAAAAAACACAACAGTCTGCTACAGGGCAAAGGGTTTGTTTGCCCAACTGAATGAAGTGTCAGCAACACTCACAGCCTTTGTCCTCATTATTGTGTCGCAGAGCTGCGACCTACCTCAGACAAAACATAATTTCAGTGTCTTCTCCCTACTATGTTTATATTGACAAGGGAAAAATTTGATATGCCGCATTTTGAAAGTAATTTCTATATTCATTATCCAGGACCGATGCTGCCACCTATCACATCTGCATACAAGAGGAAATATGAGGATGAGGAAGATGAGTATGACTCAGAAATGGATGATTTTATTGATGATGGAGGTGAGGTGCAGGAGGAAATTTCTAAGCACATAAAGGAAATCTTTGGCTATGATCGAAGCAGGTAAGGCGTGTCACTACATGGTCTGATGTAAGGAAAAATCCATTTAATTGAACTGAAAATCAAATTCTATATTTGTTTTCAACCTCTGCAGATACAGAGATGAGAGTGACTATGCACTAAAATTCATGGAGAGCAGCTGGAAAGATTTGCAGAAAGAAGAAGCTAGGAGGTAATAAGATTTTTTTTTTATTTTTTTTTTGGGGGGGACCTCAGTTTCTTTTTCTGTCTGTGTGCCATTTGTCCATAGTGGTCTACTCCTTTAAAAAAAAAAAAAAAAAAAAATAATGTTTTGTTCTGTATTTCTGTGATTTGCCACTTTAGCCTGAGAATGGCTGTGCAGGAGGATCTGGAGGAGGAAAGAAGGGAGGAAGAAGAGCTGAAAAGAAAAAACGTCAAGAGGAAAAAAATGAACTGAGGCCTCATTGTCGTTGAGAGAAATAAAATAAGATCATTTTCTTCATTTTGCTGAGAGATGCGACAAAGGGATATACAAAACCCAGTGACTGTCCACTTTGGGTGCTTTGTCATCGCTTCTCTCCCTGAGATTAGATAAAACCTAGCAGCATCTCAAGAAAACTGGAGAGGAAGAATTTTAGTAAAAGAAGGCTTAAAAAAGACAATATGCACAAATTATTCAGGCACTAGGATTAAAGTTCTCACATTGTCCTTTCTTATTTATTTTACCTGCTGAGTGCAGGGATACCTACAGTCCCATCTGTTTAAAAAAACAAACAAAAAAGATTGGCATCAACAACTACAGTAATGGAAAAGTGTGATTGATTTCTTTCTTTCTTCTTTCTTTTTCCTCTTTTTAAAAAAAACAAACAAAACAAAACAAAACGCTAACATGAAATGTTATATAAATGATGACATGCTATTTTTGAGGCGAAGTTGTTGCATATTTTTCCAGACTTTTATTGTAAACTCACTAAGATGTAGACGACATTACCATTTGATACTTTGTTTTATCTTTGCAAGGATCTGACTGACAATAATGCATTAAGGCTTTTGTTTAGTTTTATGTCTGCATTTTCAGAGTATGACAATCTAAAGCTTTTTTTGGACTGCAAATGCAATGCAGCAGGTAGTCAATGTTTTGCTTTGTATTTCTGTGGAAGAGAGAGCAAAAACGATTTCCTTCCCTAAATTGTGTCGAGTATTTTTGTTTATTTTATTTAAAGAAACTGGCATGGTCAGTATGTAAGGTTGTGCTCATACAGTGTGGTAATGGCGTTACATATCTTTTTGTACCTGCCACTTTGCCGTAGTTGATGTCACAAGTGGGCGGGATCCGTCTCCCTGTGTCGCCTGACTACTCCTTAAAGTTTGCGGAAGTTTGTTTTTTAGAGTTCAAGTGGAAGCAAAGTCTCAGTCTGGTGGAAATCAAAAGAAACGAGGATTATTTTTTATTTTCTTTCGGGGAGTCGTGCTTTAATAGATGGACCTCACGTCAGAGAAAATCCAGCGGATTCTTTCGAAGGTTAGTGATTTATTACGAGCTGCTTCGAAAGATCCTCTTAAGTTAAAACTCAAAACATAATTGCCGGCTAGTATAGCAGGCTAATATAGGTTAGCTGCTGTCTCCCTTCACTAACTAGCCGAACCAGCTCTGTTACTGAAGTCTGAGAGAAACCTGGATGGCAATAAGACGGGGAAAAAGAACAGAATGGTAACTTATTTAAAATAGTAATGAGACAGGAAGGGCAATTAAAAAAGTGCTAAACTGAGCTGCTTTCTACTCGTGTCTAACTTTGCGTAGACTGCAGTATTATTGTGCTTCACTTATTGTTGTTTGTGCCAATGAGCATTTCCATTGTAGGTGTGGAATACAGCAATACGCAATGACCTGTTGGACCCTTCAAGAAAATGTCAATATAAAAGTAATTGTTGGGTGTTTTGTTGTCAGAATAAATGTACGATGACAAATGTTCTTACAGCCACAAATAAATTAATTAATGTAAATAAAAGATTACTGTAATGATCCAAATCTGTAGAGAACTGATGTGGTACAATATACCTCATGTGTGTAATATATAACCCAAATATGAAACAGTTAAGTCTTCCTTCTCTGCCTCCTGATATTAGTACAAATTTCGTGATGTTGCTGTTGAGGAGTTGGAGAAAATCTATCGAATCTATCCTGGGATGACGCTATCCACAGGCACATACAGTAAGTTCTTACATTAAACCCATTTACTGCTGACCTTCACATTTCCTTCGCACACAAGAACATTAAACTTATACTATCTTTACTGATATTTCAGCATTTAGTGACAGCACCCAAAAAGACCTTCTGAAATTAACTGGCACCATCCCGGTCCAATATGAAGGTATGGCTGACCCAAACTCTTCTCACTTGCCTCCCAATTTTGATAGAAAGAGTTGTATAATTTAATAGCATCACTAATTTGAGCATGAGGTCATAATTTTGTACTGACTGAGGTGTCTCTGTCCAAAGGTCGCTCCTACAACTTCCCCATTCAGCTGTGGCTGTTGGACTCCTTCCCATTCACTCCTCCCATATGCCACTTGAAACCCACTTCTAACATGGTCATCAGAGAGGGCAAGCACGTTGATGCCCATGGACGTATCCACCTACCTGGCCTTCACAACTGGGATCATGTAAGATCTTGTACTGTCTGGTTGAAATTTAAAATTAAAAGCAGACAAGGTGCTGAAATGTTGCTGTTTCGTTTCCTCTGTAACAGCCAAAGTCCTCTGTGGTGGGTCTTCTGAATGAGATGGTTACCAAATTTCAGGAAGACCCTCCATTGTCCTCAAAGACCACAACAGACAAGAAAGATCCCCATGAGCTCCTGGCGTTTGTCTCCAATTTCCGTATCAGTGATGGTGCAACTCCTAATATATAGTTTTATTATAACTGATGATCAATAATGAGACAAGTAGTTCATAGTGATGGCTTTACTAAATTTCAGGTGGAATCAGCCATCACGATCAACCAATCAACAAAGTCTCAGTTATTGGGGGAGGAGATTTAGGAATGGCATCAGTGATGAGCATTTTATCCAAGGTAATCACCTGATTTTATTGTATTTTTTTTAATAAACTGTTATGTCATACAATTATTATTTCACCAGCTTCAGATGTTAGCAATTCCTATTTTACTATTCAGAAGTGGTTTATCTTGTTATTTGCTTTTCATCCAGTGTAAAGTGGATAAACTGGTTTTCATTGATGTCGCTGAGAGTTCCACCAAGGGTGGCAGTACAGATCTGGAGATTTTCAGTCTGCCAAAGGTTGAAGTATCCAGAGGTACGTCACACTGCACCATCAAATAACCCAGAGATGCTTCTTTGCTGAGTCACCAGTGATGTCAGTTTGATTAGAAGGGAGAGGACTGGCACTATGCTTGTGTAGAGAGCATATTTGATGACTCATCAGGAAAGAGGAAAAAGAAAACATTTGAACAAGAATGGGAATGCCACAGTCAATGTTTGCTGAATTAACAATGCCTAAGCTTTGTGTTTTTTTTTTACAAGTTTTGCTGTGACAGGTCTGCAGGAATTAATTACCATTGTCTCTGCTGTGCTAGATATCTCAGCCTCTGCAGGCTCCAGGTTGGTCGTGGTGACTGCAAACGCATGGAGCAGTGAACAGTCGTATGTCACCGTGGTACAGACCAACGTTGACTTGTACAGAGGAATAATTCCCAATCTGGCACGTCTCAGCCCCAGCGCAGTGATGCTAATTGCATCACAACCAGGTCGGTAACAGCAGCAGACACGCCTTCTACTGACTGCTCGGCTCATTATATAACTAACGTACGGTCACTCACTCTCTCTCTCCAGTGGACATCATGACCCACGTTGCCTGGAGGCAGAGTGGCTTGCCTCCAACACATGTGATTGGAGCAGGGTGTAACCTGGACTCGGAGCGACTCAGTCATGTCATGGATATCAACCTGAACACACACAAACCAGCCTGGGTCATAGGAGAACTTTCAGATAACAAAAGTGAGCCAGAAAGAAAGGACTGACTATTTAAATATTTGTTGTTTTTTTTCCTTCAGTGAGTTCCTGACCTGTACACTGACTGTTTTTCCATTTACAGATATGTCTTAACCCATTTATTCACCTCACGTGTTTTTTTTTGTTTTTCCCCCAACCATAAGCAGTAATGCTGCACTACCGGTTCAACTTGTACTTTCTTTCTATTCTAAGGACTTGAAAAAAAACACCAGTCACCCAAACGATTACGCTTCTGTTTTTGTCTCACAGTTGCTGTGATGAGTAACTCTGGGTTGAACTCCAGTGCATCACCTGAGATTGCCCAAGGATCCAGCTCTACCAAACCACTGTTAGACAGGTACTGGAATGAATTATTATAACTTTGAACAAAATGTTATAATAACTGTAAAATATTATAAGTGCATTTTTGATCAATTAAGTAAATATTTTTCTTTTTAAAAAATTGTTTATTATTTTAATTTGTGCCTGCAGAGCCTTTGAGATCATGAAAAATCGAGGCCAGCGGTCATGGTCGGTGGGCCTTTCTATCGCCGACATTACAAATAGTGTCCTGACAGATAAGAGGAAGGTGCACTCTGTCTCCACACTTGCTCAGGTAGCAACACTAAGTGGCTTGTTATTGAAGCAACTAATTCAAATAATGTGAGTGAGTGTGTGATGCTTTCAGGGCATTGTAGGAAAGGTCATTGATTATCTTGTTCTAAAAAAAAAGCCTTTTCTGTTTACTTTAGGGTTGGGGTGGCATAGCTGTAGAGGTGTTCCTCAGTCTGCCGTGCATTATGGGAGTAAACGGTTCCACACGCCTAGCTGGAGTGTCACTGGGACAGGAAGAAGACTCCAAACTAAGGAACAGTGTTACCTCCCTTTCCAACCTCATGGCTCAACTTAGGATATGAACGATACGAGCGGTGTGGGCGTAGCTGTGCTACTTACTACCCCGTCCTCAGCGGGTGGACTGTGTCTGTGCTGAGGTTGCATGTGGTTTCTCCTTGCACTAAAGTTTTTAGGTTACAGGCGTTACTTCTATTTTGAATTTATATAAACCTAATCACAGCATTTGTTCATCCATTCTCCTCAGACAGTGTATAGCAAATCAGTCAATACTGTCAATGTACAGACAGCATTTTGTGTTCCCAGTAACCACATCTATGACAAGCCGTTCATTTTGTCTGGGTAAAAATGACAGTTACAACTTGATACATGAATGTACAGAAACTTTCTGCAAAAACATAAAAACTTGTGACGCTTGTAGCCTTTAACTGTTTTGTCAAGAACAACCAAAGTTGAAGACAAGAGTGCACTTATACCTAAAATGTATGTTTAACCCATTCCAACAGGAGAAAAATCAGGGTGGCTGCAGATAAAATATGAAGTACGAATATTATAGGTACTGTAGGATGCTGGCGTTGAATCAGTGGATTATGTTGGAATGTTCTTTCATATTTAATATTAAGGAACTTCTAAAGGTCTAAATTTAAATCTCTTGTGCCCTAATGTACTTTGTAAAAAAACAAACAACTAATTTAAGCACCTTGATATTGAGGTATATACACTATATGATACTGTGGGGTGTGCAATAAATATCTGAAAGCAGTTGTGAATTGTCTTTGCAGAAAAGAGGAGAGAAAAAAAAAAGAACAGATAACCCGGGTTTGTCTCTTTATAAAACTCATAGTTGCATAACTGCACAAAAGCTTTGGTCTGAGCCCAAATCTCACTGATGCCAAACAGATCCATAAAAGGAGTACTGATCCACAATTGGTGGGCAGGTCACATGACAGAATACTCCAGCAAGCCAAAATATACTTGTGTGGGAGCTAAGGTCCAAGTTGTTAGACAAGAATGTACAGTGAGTCTGCAAACCTAGACCAAAGACTTTAGCACTAATTTGTAATTCCATAAAAAAAAAAAAAAAACCCATTAAGAACAGCAAAGTCTGTAATAACAAATGTCAGTGCAAAAAAACAAAACAAACCCCAAAACTGATGTTTACATACAATGTCATAATTGTAAGAACATAAACATGTTTGACTATACAGTAGTTCCTTGTATTTTATATTATGGCTCAACTTCCATTTCTCAAAAAAAAAAAAAGTCCTTATAGCAATTAAATAAAACACTAAAGTCACCAATAGCTCTAAAATATGTGAAGAAACTCAGATGAATTTTTCTTCCTGGTTTATATCAGTTTTAAACAGTGAGATATGGGATTTGCTCATGTATAAGTCTCTGAATATGTGCACATTCATAACCAAGAATAAAAGGAAGAACTATTAACAAGCAGAAGTAGTTTCCCAAAAAGCATCTCGGTCTTTGGATCTATTCTACCACTGAACACTAGATGGCGCTACTCTCAAATAGTGTCAATGGATTTTACTGAGAAACCTGCTGATGTGATGGAATAAAACCTCATTTTAGTCTTTCCTTAATTAAATTTGATACATGCATGTATATATACACAGTACATTATTGCTGTGAGATCAAGTATTAGACAAACAGATAACACTGGAACTATTACTTTGAAAAACAAAAGCATCCAAACAAAGAAGTTAAAAAGACAAACAAAGTACCCACTGCTACCTGCCTGGGAAATAGCTGACCTGACCAGGCTTCATGTGATATAAACTTCAGTATTTAAAGCAGAGAAGTATCACATCGTTTCATATTGCTGCTGGTGGATACAGCTTTAAACTCTCTGAAAGGTTTGCCTGTGCACTGCATTAGTGGTCCTTTTTTAAATCAAGTACTGACCTAAAAATTCTGTAAAGAATAATAACAGTTTCTCATTACAGTTTGATATACTGTTAGATATGTGAGCCTGCTCACAGTTTGATATAAATTCAGCATAAATGTACAGGCTTTGGTTGCAAGGTCTCATTTGGCAGCCTCAAAGCCCTTGTGTTAGAGTTGCAACCCTCAGTGCACAATGATAAGGTTAAGACACTTTGTTGGGACACTGTTAAACAGAGAGAAACAAACCAATGGTGAAATGCACAGGTTGTATGGACAAACAGTCTGAAAATTTCTTATTACAATCCAAAAAACTGAAACCTCATTTTCTCACATGACAACAAGAGCAGGCAAGTTAACACTTTTTCTGTGCAGCCAACAGAATTTAAATACAAATTTGACACCACTGCCCATAAAAGAAGGTGCAAGAATCTAATACACGAAGCATGAGCACACGCGAGCACACACACAACAAATTTAAAACTTACTGGCCTTTCACCTTTAAAATGTCTTTGAAAACTAGACAAGCAGTAACAGAGAATCCCAAGCATATTGTCAAAATCAATAACTCAGTAACATTTGTATAACACTTTAAAATGTCACCGACTTGGGCAACTGATGTCCACTTTGAGGCACCCTGCAAAAGTCTGGACTGGACTGGACCAAAGCTACTCCTACTTCTGACTGTCCTGAGGATCTTAAGTGAGTCGGAGGTGACCCGGTGTACAACAGCGGTGCTGGGAAGGCAGAATGGTCTCTGGGGCCCCTGGAGAAAGGCTTAGAATAACCGGGTGACATGGCTTTGTGCGGGTCTGAACAGCTGGCAGTGGTGCATTGGAGGGGACTAAGTCTGTCGGCAAAACTAGGTGGAGGAGGGGCAAGGATAGGATCCTCCACCCAACTGCCCTCTCCTACATATTCTGGTTCTTGTGGCAAACTGGGAAGGGCACATAGTGAGGGAGGGGAAGCAGAGTGATGCATGTAGACAGGAGGTGGAGGCAGAGGGTACACAGCAGGGTCATATTCTCTGTTGTATGATGGGTTGTTGTGCAGGCTAGGAATTTCCTCAGGAGTGGAGCTCAGCACTCTTTCTAGATTACGGTCATCTTCATCAACCTCCGAAAGGTTGTCATACTGTGAGGTGTTAGAAGGCCGTCTATCTCCTGCAGATACCGGGACGTATAGAGAGACTGGGAACTTGGTTGGCTTTGGGGGAATTCTGGGAGAGGAAGACGAATCTGTGAAGGCACGATTGGGGGAGGGTTTTGAGGGCAAAGGTTTTTTCTGCATAATGTCAAGTGATGTCGGAGGTTTAGGGTATAGTTTTGGGGATAGCTTAATTTGATTGACCAGTGGTGAGGCTGAGCGGGGGGAGTGAGAGCACTGCTGGATACCCGGGCCAGTCCTAGCTCCCAGATGGGGCGAACAACCTCCCAGTGGCATTTGGTCAATCTGGTTAGGGAAAATGAAAGGTGGAGGTGGTAGATCAGGGAGATCCATGATTTCCTCCTCAGCTTCCATTGTATGCATATCCAAGGGAGGGGGCTCATAGGGTGGAGGCCAATCCACAGGTTCTTCTTGGATCTCTGTGACTGAGGTCTCGTTTTCCTCGTTGCCCCTCTCTTGACTAACTGCTGGGAACAATTCCTTAACATCTCTCCTTACCCCTACTTTTGGAGGGATCGGAGGATTTCGACAAGGCCTCAGAGAAGATGGTGTCCCTTGTGTGTGAACCACAACAGGGTCTGGTGAAGGCAAACTAGGTGTGTTTGGCCTGGAGAGGCTTCTTGATTCCTGGGGCTCTTCAAGGGAGGGAGGCGGATGTGGGGTGATGCCAACTGTTTCCTGGGTATCTGTACTGGGCTGGCTCTCAGACTGCGGACTTATTTTGACCTCCACAGAAGAGTCAGGCTGCAATGGGAGAAGGAGAACTGGTCTCTCTTGACCCAGAGGCTTCTTGGGTAACTCATCTGACTTGGCTAAAAAAGGAAACAGAATTTGTGGGTTATTACAAGACAAACGCTGTAGACAAAGAAGCTTAGGAGGGGGGGGGGGTGGCCTGTAAAAGAACATAGGTGCACCTGGAGGAGGTTGGTCCAGCTTTTTACTGCGTAGTTCAGTCATTGCTGTCTGCAACTGTTCAACTACAGCATCATCAGGCATGAAGAAAGAAGCAGCCAGCTGCTCCTGAAGAAATTCTCTCAGGTCCTCTAACTGAAGTTTCTGCAGGCGCTCTGATTACACACACAATACAGACAAAAGAGGAGCAAAGTAATCTATGAGGATAATCTCCATGAGGTGAGGAATAGAAATGTTACTGTTAAAAAGAGTAGTTAAGCTCAGATGTAATGTTTAAAGATACCAAGTAAAGAGATGCCAAGTAAAGAATTGGCCTGTTAAAGGAGTTGTTTTGCAAGAAATCAACCAATGTGCCGAGCCAGTGCTAGAGTATGCCACCCAATGAAAAATCAGCTTTTGATTCTTCTCCACAGCAACCGACTACTTCTGTTATGTAAGCCATCCAGTTAGGAAGCAGCCAACCGAGAGGAAGCGTGCGATGTAATCCACACAGTAACACTCACTCGTGTAGCAACAGCAGCGGCCGTATCTAGGGATAAAGCGCGGCATGGCACAGCCTCATACTCACTTTTGTGTAACTTGAGGATAGTGTAAGCCATAGCAGATAGCATCTTCTCCCCTTCCAATATGTAGATGTCCCATAAACGCAGGGTGAGGGTGAAAGGTGTCTGTTAATTTAAGAGTCAGTCTCATCAAAACATAATAAAACTGCCATAGGTGTAGTTCTAATTTAAAAGTGAAAGTAAAAGAAAGCATTGTGAGGCACTCATTAATGGGACTAGATATAAACCCCCCGAAAAAACAGTGAAGATCTGGAGGAAATCCAAATACTCACTCTTTCAATGAAGCACTGCAGAAACCATTTTGTGGTGTAAATCCCTGTTGTCATCTGCTCCTTGTCCTGTGGAGCAGGAATGAATGCGAAACTCTGCCTTAGAATTTGTTTTCAGTTATAAATCTCGCTTTCCAAATACTCTGGGATCTAAGATCTGCAACATGCGGTCCTTTGCAACATGAATTAATCAAAAAAATGAGAAATGACTTGATTGTTTGAAATGAGTCTAAGGTTCTTCTAAGGTTTCAAAGAGCTCAATTACTCTTGTGGATGGAAGGATGGATGGAAGGCATCAGTCATCAGTCTGCTACTCACCAGGTGTTTCTTGAGCTTAGGCAGCATTTTGGACAGGATTAGCTCATGATGAGCCTGGAAACGGTGCAGCTTGGGAAATCCCGGGATGAAGAACCCTAGCAGGGAGGGAAAAAAAATTAGTCAGCAGACTATAAATTGTGTATGGCGATAGCAGAGATGTTTTATATACAAATTAAAGAGAAAACGATTACTAAAGTTAGTAAAGGATCCTTATATTTTTAATTGGTTTTAAACAGTACAGTTACTTCCCAGACATTAATTAGCTGTGCTTTCCTGTTTCCCATCTCTGTCTCACCGTGCATGGAATGCTTGTTGTCGGTAAGGAGTTGGGACAGAGCCCAGAAGGCATCCTCCTCATTCAGGTACATGAGCAAGATGGCAGCGATCTGACTCATCCCCTGGCAGTAGCTCACCTCCTGGGGGAAGACAGGAGCAGAAATGGCTTTAGTTAAACAGAACGGGCAAATGAGAGGAAGTATTCATAATTTAATAGAGCAAACGCACACACACACACAAACACGCTAAGAAATGAGGGAACAGAGAGCATCTGAATGTCTTATGAGGTCTGAAGACAGACTCTGGAAGTTTTACTGTACACAACAAGATGTAGTGTTGGTATTATCAGCACTTCAAACCTGGATTGTACAAATATGTACACTAGCCAATCAAAGACTCTCAGTAATGTCATGCATCCAGCTTCAATTACTGACAATATGACTTCACAATGATTCAGTGACTTAAACTAAACTAGCCCTTGGCAAGCACATACATGCAAACACAGACACATGCCTAGTATTTGTCCATATTAAGGCTGATTTATTGTGTAGCTACCAACGGACACACCAGAATATCCTTCCAAGGAAAAGCATAAATACAGTTAGGGTTATGGTGAGGTTAAACTACACATTCCCCACATTCTTCACTACCATCACATAGGCAAAAAGAACAAACATGCCTCCCCCCCTCCATCTCTCTCTTCCCTTTTCTCTCTTGGCTCTCCTACTGACCCAGTTTCTTCTGAGCAGTGTGTGAGAAGAGGGGAAAAAGGAAAAAGGGAACGACACATGCCCATTTCCTCTGGCTCAAACACCTCTACCACACAGGAATCGACTACAAAAACCAATCAGAAAAACAGACTTTGGCTTGCCTGCGTGTGGTGTACTCTTCAAAAGTCTATTGCTAAATTTCTGCTAGTCGAAAAGCGTAGGAATATTAAAATCTGTTCAATATGAATGCAAATGATAGATGTAAGTGTTCAGACACAGGATACAAATGCATACGAGTGCTGGTGATTCTGTGCATGTCTGTAAACTCTGAATTTCACCATGCAAAGAGAAACACTTGGAAAAATACACTGAGACCCTCAAGCAGATGCATGAAAAACTCATTATCTCTGCCTTCAGATCCACAACTGTGATTCAAAGACACTGGTGCAGAGACACTGTTTAGATGACTGCTAAGTGAAAAGTAACCAACTTGGCTTCTATGAGAAATGAGGATGTGAGGTTTGTTTTTCTAAAAGCTGTGCTTAGCTGGAAACAAGGCATCCTCTTACATTAAGACAGAATAAAATCTTAGAACAAAAGAGAGTGAATTGGCTTAATATTTGTCCTGAAGCTAAAATATTGTCAAAAGGGGAAGTTGGTCTAATAGTGTGAACAACGGTCTATCTGCTACACTGTGTTGCTGTACAATTAGGCCAAGCCAGTCATAAATAAAAGATCTCTCCTAAGGCTTTAAACAAGAGTGATAACAGATGGGTCTGGATAGCTTGGCCTGTTTTCCACTGTACAGAAACTAACACTCTTGATGGATGTGCTGCTTGTTCCTGTGCAGCTAGTGTACACAAGACTCCTCCATATTATGCAACACAATGTTACCGTAAGTACGGACACAGATACACGGACAAATTTGCTCACCGTGTTGTAGACAGAGTAAGCAGCTAGTACGTGAAACAGCGCCTGTTGCCTGGAGAGAGAACAGAGAAGCCACCAGTTAAAACAACCAAACAAACTGAAACGCTGTGTCGGAGTAAAGCGGTTCAATTGAACCAATTATTTCATCCACCCAGTCGCTTAATCAACCCTCAGTATTGTTGCTACACATTTAAGTTTTAATGTGTGACAGGACTTCTTTTATGGCTGAAAAAAAGATGTCCAAAAAGATAACTTTTATGGTTTTCTTTTCGTAATGGCTGACCTTGTGAAGTAGAGAAGTATATATTTTGTTCATGATATGTGAAAATATGCTGTCATATATGGAAAGCCCCACAGATGTTCCAGAAATTACATCTGATTACAACTGCTTCAGACCTTGAACACAGGCAGCCAATGTGTGTAGGCTAATGTGTACAACGTGCACACGGCGTAGGGATAGTAACAGATCTAATGTACGCAGATGTAGATAGGACAATGCCCCCACAGGCTTCTATAGTAAATAGATGTCTTATGGACAGGGACAGAGACAGGAAAGGAGCTTTAAATAGCTGTCAGTTTCTCAGTGTGTGTGAGACAGCTGCTGACTTGCAGGGAAGGAGTGGGCAGCCAGGCAGGATGGAGCGGTGTTTTGGTCTATTTGGACTCGGTGGCTTTGAATTGGAGGGGAAGTACATTACAAAGGGCAAAAACAGAGCACTCAGTTACACACTCAGAGTGAAGAGTAACACATAACAGCGCCTTGCCCCAAGCAAATACAATGAGAAACACAAGAAGGTATTTAGTGTTTGGAAGGTAAGTCTGTGTACATTTGGTGATATAAGTTTCTGTTGTTGCAGTGGTATTACAGTACATGTGACGCCAGCGCACATTTCTGTATAATGCCATTTCCTGTGGGGCTTTGCGCACTGACAGGAAGGCTAATAAAATGCAGAGAGGAGGAAACCACATCTTTGGTTTTGTGTGTGTGTGCATGGCACTGTGTGAGTGCGTGTGTAAGTGGGGAGGGGACAGGGCTACTGCAATGTTTAGGTCAGAGGTCACACCCTGCAGGAACCTCTGTCAGGGGAAACCTGGACATGTGACCTGACAAAACAAAACAAAAATACCTGACAAGGCCACTTGTAACAAAAAAAAACAAAAAACAAAAAAACAACAACCAAGGTTTAACAGTTTGTATGTGTGTATAATGTGTTACATGTGGATACAATGAAATACTTCAGCTTCCTCCTGAGTGAAGCTAAGAACTCACTTGACTCCAAAGCGATCCATGAACATGATGTGGTTCCTGAAGGTTCTGTTAACATCCAAGTCTATCTGCTTAATTTCTGTGGAGAAGTTACGAGCTTGCTGCTTCATTTTCTGGATAACAGGGGAATGACATTTCTGTGTGTAAAAACCAGGACACAGTTTCTCAAAATCATAGAAAATTGCCAACAATTTTAATAGCTTACCTCATATTTACCATCTTGTTTCACCTTCTCTATGTCTAAAAGCAAGGCCCAAGCTTGTCCTCTAAGTTGGAGAGGAATACCTTTATATACACGCTTCGCCAGCTGAAACAGATGTGACAGAAACACATGAACACAGGCTCTTCATGAGGCGGCAAAAACAGACAGAGGGACAGCGTCACGTTTGAATGCTTCTTGAGGTGTACGCCTTTTAGCTCTCTTGATTGACACGGATTCATCTCATACACTCATGTACTTGTTGTTTTTTTTTTTTATCCATCTCCTCACGATAGTCTGGTAAGAGGAGATGGATAAAGGAGTGAGCTGTGCTTAAAAGAGGAATGGAAAACAGATTATAAAAAGAAACAGAAATAGTACATCAGATAGCCAAGCAGAAAAAAGGAAGCATGGGCTAAATTAAGACATGTTGGTGTCTGAATGTTGATGGGTGACTATCGACCTTTTCACTGCTCTTGTATTTGTCCCATTTCTTCACCATCTTCAGCCATTTCTCAACTCGCTCGAGCTCCTGCTGCTTTTGCTGGAGAGAAGAAAGACAAAACAACATGTGGTTCAGTGCATGTGAGAGTCGGACATAAATAGATCACTTGAATGGTAAAAATATGGTAAAAAATGAAGTAGCTATACGTTAAAATGTTCATACCTTTTCTTCAAGCACACTTGGTGTTGGAAGCTCTTCCTCACTGGAGAAGGGCAGGAATACACAATATGTATCAAAGCGGTAGATTAAGAGAGTAATCTACATTTTATAATTATAAAAAAATCATCATAATCTGAGAAGTAGCATAGACAGAACGATGGGACCAATTCAATGCAAGGGAATGTGCACAAATTTAAAATAGTGCAAGGTAGAGACCAAAGCTTCAAATGTACTTACTGCAGGAAGCCAAAGCGGTCTGTGATTTTATAAATGCTGTAGTCAGCATCCTCCCACGGATCAATACTGACACCCTCCTGCCTGCCCTGAAACACAAACAGTTCAAATCATGCATATTTGGACAGATCCATTATTTTCCTCTTTAAACCCTGCGAGTCAGTGCACTACATTTTAAATTAGGAGCCTGAGACATGAGCCTTGACATTTTCTGATGATGTTCTGCCTTCCCGACAGATGCAATTGAGACTTAGCCCATGCAAAGGTAGGGAGCGTGTGCATGCTGATCTGTGTAGTATCCTCCAAATGAAACGTGACAATCTTCTGTGGCTACACCTCTACAAATGCATTATGCTTTGCAAAAATATTGTAACCACAAATTGGTCACTATGGAAATGTTCACAGTCACAGGTTTTCCTGTAAACACCTACCTTGTCATATTTAGAGATGATTTCAGCCCGTTCTTCTGCTATTAATGTGTCTATGTCCTTCTTCATGTCAAAATCTATAAGAAAACACACAGAAATAGATTAAGAGAGTAATCTCTCTTAACCTGTGTATATGCATTGGCATATACATTGGGCATGTGGAAGAATATTGACCTAATATTGAGGTAAATATTGATTTACTGCTGATTGGTATGGTAGGATAATTACACACTTGATCCATGATATAAAATGTTGCTTGAATGTAAAAGAGATAACCGTAACATAAAACTGCTACAATCTCCTTGCATTAAACTTAACGAGATCCCTCCATAAAAATATGACACATACAGAAATTGTGGGGTACACAGCCTATGAGTGTATGCTGGAGTTGGTAGAGGGCTTGAAACAGTACGAAGCAATGCAGCGCAGCAGCGGCACTGACATGTCAGAGCGAGTAGGAAATTTAGAAATTTAAATATGGAATATAACGGATGAGGCATGTTACATGTTTATGACGCAGTGCAGTTAGAGTTGGCTGTCTGAATTAGCTTGCATGGTATTGTCCAATGCAATTCTTCACATTGACTTTTTGAAGAGTGTTTGTTTTAAAAAGGTTACACAGGAAATTAGTATAATAAGTCAGCCCTTTGGAATAATACTATGTTATACTGATTCTCGACACATGCAGCCAACAGAAACCTCAGGCAGTAGATTTTTCGTAGTATGCCAAGCAGCAACAGGTGTGAATGCACCTGTCATCTCACACAAAGACCCTTTAACTTTTCCCTGCAGACCCTTACTCATTGTGCTGACAGGAGACATTGCATTTGAAGCGATCTACAATTCACAAAACGTACAAGTTCAGGATGCAATTTGTTTCTCAGGTGTCTTCCCACACACATAAAAAGGTATCCGGTGCTGCTGAAATATCAGCACTTCTTGGGACTCTCCTACAATTAGGCCTAATAATGGAAGAGGTTTGCCACAGTAGAAACAGGTGCTCAGTGAAACCAGACCTCTGAACAAATGGACTCTGTTGCTCTTTGCTTTCCTTTTCAAAATTTCCCTTTTCTCATCCACCTCAGCTTGAGCCATTTCAGGGTTTTGATGGCATCAGCATACTTTCTGAACAGCTGTGTAAACCGTCTGTGAGGTGAGCTCGGTAACCAAAGTCTTATCTTACCTATATCACATGATCAGATAATGTGGTCTTACTAGTGTATTTATCATAGGCTAAATAAGTCGTAAAGAAATAAATTAATAAAAAGCTGAGCACGTTAAGGCAACTATTGTTGTGATCTGGTGCTATATAAATAAAGTTTTCTTTGCCTTTCTGTTTTAACTATGCACACAATGTTTTTTAACATCGGAGTTGATGTGTGGAGTGTCATGGCACCACATTGTAAAGCTACATAATTGTTTTTCTTAATTAATCGATTTTTTAAGCCCTCTTGATTTAATTGTATTTTCACAATTATCAAAAGTTTAATTTATGTTTCTCTTCTAAGACATGCACTGAATTTAAGTGAATATCGAGGACTAATCTTATTTTAATGCAATGACTTAGTAGGAACGTCACACAACACGGATGTGTAAGCAAGGTTATGCCAAGAGAACGTGCTCTGTTATTATGAGTTCAGCTTTAATGGTACTGCCAGTGAAACCTAATTCAAATGCATGAGTTAATTGATTTATATGCCAACAACTTTAACCCTTATGGTCATCAAAGTGAAGATTGCTTTACTGCATTTTCACATGTTTATAAATGTAAGTTGTAAATGTATAAAATATATATATATACACACTCCGAATATGTATAACATTTCATTATGCTTTGTACAATGGAATTTTACTTTTTAAAAGTCCTGTTTGCTGAGGGAATTTCTTTAAAAAATAAATAAATAAATAATTAAAGCATCTGTCGGGCTTCATCATTAGGTCTCAGATGCTTTCTTCCTGTGTTGAGTCTCCACACTGCTGATAGCATTGTTTTTGAGCCAGGAAGAAAAGGAAACTAGTGACTGCCACTCCTTCAATAACAGGTTCAAGGAAAACTACAGAAAGAGTAGGACAAAATTCTTCTTCCTCCAGCCATTAAAGAAATATTTCAACTCTTTCAGACTTGGACTGTGTGATCAGCAAGAAAGATTTCAGTAAAACTGCAGTTGATCTGTCTGTGTTGGTTCTCAGTCATCCAGGTCAAAGTAATCTAAGGAGCTTGGAAAGAAAAGCGACCGGACTTCTTTAAGTTTTCTGAAGACGTTTCACCTCTCATCCGAGAAGTAAGATCATATCACACTAATACAACTGGTGATTTGCTTATGACTCATAAGCAAAATACAAGAGAAAACAGCTGAGGCTACATCCGTGGCTGCATCAAAGTAATTTACTTTACTGCCCTTTTTAAGTGGTGAACACGAAGGTGGTTACTTGTGGTCGGGATCAGGGTGTCAACAGATGGAAGCTCAATGGAAAATCTGATTAAGCAACTGAGAAGGTCACCAAGTGGGAGAAACCTCACACGAATATCACACCTGGGGGAGTTAATATGAACAGGGATGTGTCGTTTGTCTAACTGTGTAGAAAACAGAAGGAATGAATAAAGGTTATGTGTTTGAAAGAAACAAAATCGGCCGCTTGAGATAGTGAGAAGATAGTGAGCAAACAGTAAGCTGGAATTTGAGATGGTTAACACCGCTGAACATTCAGAAGAAGAAAAACAAAACAAACAACTGTATGGCTACGTTTTGACAACCATGTTGCTAACAGGGTAGAAACTAAGGCTTAGATGACATCATTTCCTGTTATGACATAGGGCTCTAAATTAGGCTCACATATATAAGCTCACAGTGCACAGTTGTAACCACAAAGAGCTTGCAAAGCATTCTGAGTCACAGTCAGCTAATTACAAGGTCTTCAGCGGTGATGCCGTGATGCAGCAGTCAAAACTTCCTTTACTGATTTATCACTAACATTTCCTATCTCTAAATGTTGCTCACATACTCTAAAATGTCATGGATAAAGCCATAACCAGCCTGGCTTTTGCAAGGAAAAAAATTAAGCCAAGTAGCTTTATTTCAAAGACTTACTGGTAGCACACTTTTAAACAGCTCTCTGCACTGAAAACCAAAAGGCCATTTATAGTTCTATCAGCTAACTGCGGTTCAAAAACTAAAAGATATATTTAATCTCACAGGAAACAGAACACAATTCTCAAATGTTATTTAAACATATTTCTGTTTCCCTTGGTTTCTGATCATCTCTCTTTTGGCTTATAATCAATCTTAATCCGAGCGGATTCCGATTTAAGACAGAGGATTATACAAGCGCCAAGTAAGAATGAAAGCTTGGGATTACAAGTAGTCTGGCAATAACTTACCGTAGGGCCATGGAAACTAACCACAAGCGCTAGACTCCTATTTAGATAGAGACACGATGACATATTTGCAATATGTGCATGTGGGTTGATATCTTGAACTGAAGCCTTCAAGTCAAACTACCTCAGACAGTTTGTACCAGCACAAGGGCAAAAACACAAGGGAGACGAGCTGAGGTCAAATTTGGAAATACTGGAAAAAAGTTGACCTGAATCCCGAAGGTCAGATTCGTTGTTAATATCTGATATTAATATTGTTATTAATATCAAATTTTCACGTTAATGTATTTTATGTGGCTGTCACTCAAAACACTAACCTCACTGCTGATGGCGACGCAAAGCAAAAGACGCCAGATGTTTCGTTCTTTTGAGCACACGATTAGTCAGCGCTGCATGGTCAGCCAAAGGACAGTCAGATCAGACAAGCTTGAACCATGCACCAACTCAGCCTGGTTACCTTGCAGAGTAAACTCTCACACTCACTCTTCAGATGCATATTTTATTATAAACATGTACTGTAAACCACCACTGTTCCTGCAGAGGATCTTACAACCTCACTGTCAGGGTACTAATAAGCATGAAGTGTCAAAGACAAACACATTTTTAATGAGTCACGACTAAGATGTAAATGATCTAAATCTGATGCTTTATCAAGGGTTTCTCACTTCCCTACATCAAATGAAAAAGCAATTCAAATTAAGAATATGGCGGAATTATACATCTGTTGCTTAAGTTTATAATCATATTAATTACTACAGTCATTAGCAGAACAATTTATGACAATTAAATTGAAAGAATGTCCTGTGGTGCATTCCATTTCCCCTGTCATTACATTAGCTCAGTGGTGTAGCTTTGTGGCGGCTGTGAAGAACAAGTATGTCATTCTAGTTCAGAGAAGGGAAGCTTACAAGCAACCACATGGCTTTAATTTCCACATGAAGAACGCTCAAGTCCCAGATGGCAACAGAGCTCCAGTTTTGTAATGGGTGTCAGACACACAGTGTATGCATGTAAGCATGGATGTGTCCAAGAGAAGCAGAAAAAGAGCTGGAAAAAGCAGACAGAGAGCAACGGCCACGAGGTGCCCTCCCTACTTTAAGCAGGGGCGAAGAAAGATGATCATCCAGGGTCAAATTAGATGGTAATAGAGGCCAACTGAGAGCACTATTAAGAGATGAGGAATGTCATAGAAAGCTTAGAACCTACTTAGAGAACAGGAATCATTATTACAACAAACACAAGAGTGACTATTTTTGCCTCTAAAAAAATAAAGTTATGAAACCTCCATTAAAGCAAGACCAAAGCAGCTGAAACAAGATTATTGTATACTCAAGGTGAGTTAATCAGAGAGAATTTTTCCTAAGTACAATATAATGGACATTTAGCTACCAAGTCATATTTTTAGAAGCCACGTTTTAACATGCTCAAAATATGATCACATTAATATAAAAAAAACAAGCTCAGATATCTCAGTATCATCAACAGCTTCTATATATGGCTCCATACTAACAAACATGTTTGGCAGGTGTGATGGTGCATGGACAAGAGCCATTTGTTTCACCGTGCCCATGCCAGTAGCATTTTTCTCAAGGCTTGCTCATAGTGGCTACTGACTCATAGCAAAGTAAAATAAACTGTGTACTAAATCTTTTCTTGACTGAGCTGAAGCAAACAGCAAGTCCATACTAGGAATTCAAAGGACAATTTGAGACAAGAATAATACCACCCACCTTAGGCCACTTAGAGAAAATCTTACTTTTGAGAAGCTATGGTCTCCTTAACAAAAGATTCCCTGTCTTCCTTACTGTCTGGGCCCTTTCCCCCGCCGCCCCATCTCACTCACTTTTTTGTAGTGTTTATGCATAGAAAATACAGACACAGACGTTGTGGCCCAGGGGGAAACATCCAGAGCTCAGGGACTGAGAAAAAGCACAAAGGCTCAGAATAGCTTGCTGTCCCTAAGGACTTTTTTGTCCTGCTGCACTCTATATTACCCATGTCCCTCTGCCTTATCATTTTTCCAGAGAGAGCCACACAGAACATAGATTATACCAACATTACTCACCATCCAAATGTGCCCTTTTTCCTTTCATGACAAAGAAAAAAAACAAGATGGAGCAGGAGGAAGAGGGCTCACCTCACCTTGTATCACTCAGACTGAAAGCAGTCTCTGTTCATTACTGTGGCTTGAGAGCAGGAAGGGGGGGTCTAATTATAACAATGACCACACAAAGTTTTAGATGCTAGAGAAGCAAGCCCATCGCAGGCCTGTTTCCCAGAGTGCAAGCAATTTTTTGAGGAGTGGTATGAGGAGGACAAGAATGTCAAGGGAAGAATATTCATAAACACAAAACCTCAGATCCTGCAGAAAAAGCCACATTCTCATAAATGGATCCTCATCTTAAGAAAGACACAGTCACAACATAAGCGGTGTAGCTAGAAAAAAACCCAAAACCCAACGTATATCTACACTTTAAATAACTACTGTTGTGGTAATGTTAGTAAACTCATATGTGAAGCTGAATGACTAATAAACAGAGAAAAACAGGTTTTAAAAAAAGCAATGCTTAAATCATGCTGATGATATCATCTTGCTGCACAACAAGCGTCCTTCACTAAATTAAGAGCAAACACTCAGGTCACATTACTAAGTTCAAACGTAACCTCTGATACAGCTTCCACTCTTTACAAACCATTATATTTTGCCCACCACAGCACAGTGCTAGGTTTTGGAAAGCCAAATAGATTAAATAATTCAAGAAGGTGAACACAAAGAGAGGATGTTACCCAATGAGGAAGAGCCGACCACGGCCAAACTCAAAAGCTGAAGAGAAAAAAGAAAAAATGCCAGGCTTACCGTTACACACGGCGCGTGTGATTCGGTCAGTTTTAATGTTGTTTACAAGGACAGAAAGAGAGGATTATGGAAGGGGGACAGCATACACTGGAAGGACACTTAAAGCAGTTCAGCAAAACGAGGTTAAGTATTTGGGGCAAAAACTAATTTAAAGTGGCATCTAGAAAAGACACAAACAGAGCCAATCATAGAGGGGAATTTCCAAGATGGTCCGTTTTAGCCATTCTACAAATGTCAAAAAACAAACAAACAAAGATTTCAGCTATTATCCCATGAACCGACCACTCGTGTCCTCATGGGTGTAGCAGTTTTCAGCCTGAGTGACAATTTACAATCTCAACAGTGGTGTGACCTCAATTTCACTAATGACGGAGTGTGGGAAAAAGAATTGGGATCATTTATAGACAAACTAGCTCATGCAACTGTCAAAATGAGTTCTCGCAGAAACCTAGTTTCTTGCACCATGATTGTGATAAAGTAACATACTGATCAAATGCTAAAATGCTGTAGTTGAGACTTTAGGATTATAATAGTGTAAAGCAATCTTATTACACTGGTATCTATCATCTATTTGCCCTCTTATAACTGCCTTCTTAATATGATCATCCTTGTGTATTAATATAATTTTAAAAGGTGCTAACAATCGCAGTCTTCATAAAAGCATCATAAATGCCCCACTATTCTGAGATATTCACAGACTATACTATTAAGTTCCAATCCACTGGATGACTTTGGCTTTTCTGTGCAGAGTTTTCAAGTTCTTTCTAGGAGTGCAAGCACAGGTTTGGCAAATGAGGAACGCAAATTGTATGTAGGTGTGAGTGTGACTATGTTTGTCTGTATATAGCCCGTAAAAACACAGAAAAGCTATTCAGGGTGTGCAAAGGTCTATTACGCAATGCATGGTGACACAAACTCCAGGATCTTGTCACCCTGAAAAGAAAAATGTAGAATACTAATGGCTGGGGATATTGAAATATTTTGAGGAAAATCTTACTCATTTCTGTCCAAAATAGCTTCTGTGACATCTACCCTACCGTAGATTATGATTGAATAATACTGTCAGATGAAGGGATTTTGACCAGCCCATTTGTGACATCTCGACCTAGCATGGCTCACAACACAATGTGCGAGACATTTTCATACAGATCAACAAGCAGTGTTGCTGCTTCTGGTTCTGATGTAGCTCTCATTTGAAATAGGCCGGACAGCTTTAAGCACTATACAGTAAATAAAAGAAAAACAAAAAATTAGACATTATTTTGTTGGTTGATAAAAACAGACCAACACCTGGACTTGCCTCAAGTGTGCCTCGGAACAACTTTTCATAAACATAGCTATAGCCTATACTACTAAGCCCCCACATGCGATATGGTACACCTTCCCAGCTCTGACCACGATTGCATTGCAACAAGATGATCAGAGATTACCTGTAGGTGGTTTAATCATGTGACAAGGCCACTGAAAACCTTTCACGGGTTACACTATTGGGGTAAAGTGTTTCTTTTTCTTCTTTCTTTAAAAGGCTGGCAAAAGGCTTCACTATTCGGTGCTTTTTGTGACACTGGCCCATTTGTAAGCCTTTGGAATCTATCATAAAGCCGCCATTCAGACCAACAAAAAGACTATTGTTGCTTCTCTGCTGTAATAATATTATCCCAACAGAAAACAATGCAAACTCCTGGCTGAAAACGAACATGTGAACCATAAACAGACGTAAATGTTGTATCAGAGTAAAAAAAAGAAAGCGTCTGTGTTTATGGTTTATTTGACTAAAGCCAATTATGATCCTTTCCTCCAAGTGCTAACCAAGGGATTTACTTATTATCTATAATACCGCAGAACATAATACTACATAATTGCTTTTAAGTCTGCTAAGCAGGGATATAAAACAGCAAATTTATAAAAGCTTAATGAACACATCAGTGTTCTAAAAAAGGCAAATTCTAGTGAGTCATTAGGAAAAAAAGACAAGGATAATAAAATAAGGGCTCACATGCTCTGCCTCACATGTGGCTGACATCCTGCTTGCAGTCAGAACAATGTTTAAAGGGAAAAGTTTTACTCACACACATATCCTAAAGTCATCATGTGCTGTTGGACTCTAGATCAAATTGACGGTTTGAAAACGATGAGATCCACGTAATATTCATTTTTGAAAATGCCATGCCCTATCTGTAAGTGCACACAGATTTACAGATTTTTCTCATATGGGAAAATCTAATATTAAAGGGTGGTTGACTTATTGAGACTTGATTTATTGCTATCTGAAAAGCTTTACAACAGAAACCAAATCAAATCAGTTCTTAACTAAAATAATTAGGAACAGATGCAGGAGATAATTAAAGAGGCAGGAAATTGTGACGTATGGGTGGGGTTCTCACAACAAGAAGCAAAAACATAGAAACACCTTTCTGATATGAACAGAAAGCAGCATCTTTAAAAAAAACACAGCTGTGAAGTGTGAAGTGTGTGTATGAAAACCTAATATAGCACTGACTTAATACGCCTGTACAATACTTCTCATGCTATTACCAAGAACATATTTAAATTAGAGGTAATGTGCACATTAGCAACATGCACATCTGTAACATGAGTCTGCAATCCTACACAGGAGAGCTAGAGCTGCTGGACATCTTTCACTTGAGTCTGTCTGTCTGTAACCTCCCCCCACTCCACATTTGAACCAGCCAGACTCCCATTAACCTTCCAGAGGGGGGACCAAACACGGTGTAGCATGACATACAGACCAGCTACTGGCCTACTTTCGGATGCTGGAGTCTGCTTTCTGAGTGGTGGGATATTCAGAGTAAACCCCAGCTGGCTCCAGTTAAAAAACTATGTCGCTTTTCGGACATAAAACGACAGGACATTGTGTCGAACACAACTATAGTTCCCGATTTTGACACTTCTCTCATACCTGCGAAGCATACATTAACACAATGCGGAACTTAAAGATGGTGAGAGCGAAACTGATTAAGAAATGTCTTTGCTTCGTGAGAAAAAACCCCAGACTAGTGCTGTTCGGGTGAAACGCCAGATAATTAAGGACACCGAGTCATCTTCCCTGTTCTTAAACACTTGTCTTGTCACGGTTAACGCGTAATTTAACAGCTGGAAAGCCCGTGAGAGTGATGCAAAATCAGAAATTCCCAAAAATGAATACCGCTCCTACACTTCTCTTAACCACAGAGGGTTTGCGAAGTTAGCCAACTTCTCTCACCATAAACCGTATCTGTTCCCTAAAAAAAACCCCAAAACATTCACGAGCACAAACCTTCACTTCCATTAACGGTTAACACGAGCGCTTTCTAACAGCCCTGCACGTGCGACTAGTTTTAAAACGAGTGAACAGGGGTTCATTTACTGATCTCTAGCTGATTGCGCAAGTTGCGAGAACATAACAGGACAGGAAAAGACAGTAACAAACGGGTCGTTTCGTTACAAGCGCTAATCAGATGGAGAAGACAACACAGTGTGTCAGAGACGCTAAAGCTGTCTCCGCTCACCTTTTGAAGTGACTTCTCTGTTGCCGCGCTGTACAAACTACATCCACTATTCTCATTCTCTCCCTCGCTGCGAAGGGGAGCTGTCACACCGACGTTGCCACCGCGGTAAAGGCTCGTTCACGAGTGTCGACTACCTCCGCTCAAATCGATGTTGGTCAAACGGACAACCCCTCCACCCCTTCCTCCCTCCTCACTCAGCCCTGCTCCACATGCCGCGAGCGAGCGAGCTGGCTGCAGCTGTCTGACAGGCTGCAAACCAGTGACAGCGTATGACGCACGCGCATGAGCAGCCGTGGGATCCTTACGTCTTCGTGAATCCAAAGTTTGGACGTGTTTTTCGTGTTTGAGTTGCACGGAGGAACGTAAAGGCGAATACACGGTAGGCTGTCAATTTTAAGTGTATACAAAATGTCAACAAGGGAGCTGTTGCGTCGTTTCCCTCATATTGCGTTCATGTCCTGCGCGTTCAGAGCGGAAATCTCCCCAGCTCGCGTACTGAGCTTGCGTACTGAGTTGTCAGAGAAGAATGATGGAAGCGCTGAGGAAGGCTATAACAATAATGCATCTTAACGCACTGGTGTTCTTAGAGAGTTTGTAGAGTATTTGACTTAAAAAGATCTAGGAAAATGAATGTGAGAAACTCTGTCCAAGAAAAGTCATATTGCGCCCTCTGTTGGATAAACAGTAGCTATGCAGGTGATACTGAAAGCTGAGCTGCATCCCATAAATAAGGTTTGGGTTTTTACATATTTAGACAAGCAAACATTTGATCTTCTAAGAAATGCTCAGTGATCAGGGATTTTATTTTTTCCCCTCCTTCGGCTGATACACCTTTTTGGGATTGTTGCTATGGTGATAAAAAGCAGCACCAGTCTCCATCTCACCCTGTCCATATCCTCTTCTGTCACACCAATTCTTCTTGACTTCATTCATGAATCTTCTCAGTGGTGTTCCTTGTTTCTTTGTGTTTTGCAACTCAATATTCAAGTATATAGTAAATGGACTGGCACTTGTATAGTGCCTTTCTATTTAATTTGAACATGCAAAGCGGTTTATACTTCAAGTCTCACACTCATGTTCATACAGTGTTTTTTTTTATTTTTATCAATAACTAAGCAATTTTATTTAACACTCACACTTTGATGGATCCAATGCCAATACTGAAGGGTACTTTGACAGGGGTACTTAACCTCCTAGGACCTGGCGTCCACATATGTGGACATCACATTTTGGGTTATTTAGACTAAAATACTCAATTTTGCTCTACATGGGCCTGATATCCACTTACAAGGACATTATACTGCTACTGTTCTATCAAAATTCTAAACGAATATCCTCATATGTGGCTCTTATTTTTCTTAAAAACAAAAATAAGGTTTAAAAAAAATCTGGTAATTCTTTGTTTTTTACATTCATCAGGCCTCAAAATGCCCAAATATCAAAGAGAAATTAAAAATGCATGCTGTGGAAGAGTTTGGGTCTTAGGAGGTTAAGGATAAATAAGAAAAGTAATAGATGGAAATTTAATTATTTAGATCTGTGGTCAAACAATGCCTCACAATATGGCCTCTCAAAAATGTTGTGGAAATATGATTCAAGGGAGGAATTTTTATATTTAATGCTTAAATGTTTATTTCTAAGCTATCTGAAAGAACAAATTAATAATTCCAGGATGCCCAAATGCAAAATGTAAAAAGAAGTTTCCAAGAGAATCCCAAAAAAGGTTTATAATAACTTTTGCAGCTGGTTAAGTCCAAGATTACATCAGTTGACATGTATTAGAAGCATACCAAAACAAAGCCTTTGTTGATGGAACATCAGAGCAGAACTTCAGCAATAGTGAGCTCTGGACAAAGTGTCAGAGATGGCAATGTTTGGCAGCAGTAAAAACACAAATTTCTTCCAGACAGAAAACTTTTCAACAACTGTGACACAATGGCAGAAACATTATAGATTGCAGTTGCTTCATTTCCTTCGGAGCTGGTCAGTAAGCAGACTCTGATGCAGTTGAGGTCAAAGCAGAAGTAGTTCTTTAGACTGTAAAATAACTCTAAGCACACTAACAAATTAAAAATTAAAAATGACAAAAACAGATTATAATCCCTTTAACATGGTGCAGCTTTTTGGTAGTCTAGTCTTGGTGTTCTTCTTTATTTTTTCCCTTTTTAACTATGTGCAGGCCCACTATATAGGGCACCAGCTTTACCTTTCTGCCAACAACTTTGCTGCACTCACTGCCCAAAGCAAATACGAGCATGCACTAAAACTTTCCTGGACTTGAGTAGAAGAAAAACAAAGGATATTTGACATTTTTCACTGTGACATCAAAATTTCAAGTCTAAATGGGCTGATCCAACAAGGAGAAGGGTGGCAGAGCATCAAGAAACACCTCCTGCTGTTACCTGATGATGCATATGTCTTTATATTTTAGTTTGAATAAATAGCTCAGCAGCAGAGGCTACATTCAAACCTGTGATGGACATGGCTTTTCCACCAGGAACAACAGTAATGACTCTGTTTAAGACAGTGCCCTAACTACTGCCAATGCTTTATCCAACAAAACAACCCATCCACCTTGTCACCTATACAAACAGTGGGTGGCTTAACATAAATTCACTATCAGCTATCAGTACACTGAGAACTGAAGAAAGCAGTTTATTTCTGTCAGACATACACTTTCCCCAACATTATCTCCTCATTCCATGTATTGGATATCAGTGTGGGGCATTGAAGCTTGCCAAGAACAAACAATGAACTCGTAGATACAAGTGGCGTTCCCAGTGTGGAGCAGTGAATGGAATAACATTGTTAGTTGAGAGATATTGAGTAAAGAGCCTCTTTGACCTACAAACTTCATGGAGGAATGGAGTTTGATTTCCTGACACGTTTAAAGAAAAGTAGCTTACATGACCAGGGCAAATTTTCATTTTGAGGATGATCATAAACTAACCAGCTCAAAGATCATCAATGAAGAACTCCACCCACCTCACCATCAAGGGCAAATTCCATATTCTGCACCCCAAACACTCATTCAAAAGCTGAAATCAGAGCTCTTCCACAACGGACCTTACAATTTGACAATTTTATATAAAGATCATTTATAACTTTGCCATAAAATTCAGTTGTACACCTGTCATACTGTAATAAGCATTAAACAGCCTTATCAGCTCTAACAGGATTGCACCATGACATTATATTCAACCCCATACAATACTTAACAGCCCACATTTCACCTGTTATGGCATGGTCATGGTGTCACTGATCCCATCTCCAGCGTAATGTCTCTGCACAGGTTACCAGCTGTCATAGTTTCTGTAGAGCGGGAGTCCTCAGGGGGGCGCTGTTTTAACCACCTTTATATATGGAGGCCGCCGAAAATTGAGATATGTGACGTAGCAAAATGGGCAGTCCGTGTATACAAGTCTGCGCTCTCATTCATAAGGAGTGTTAAACGTTAGCAGTTCCTGCCGACAGCCAGCCAGAGTCACATCCTCCTCACAGCTGTAAGTTTTGCTCTTCCACACTGACAACAAAGCTTTGTGCGTATTTTCTTTTTCTTAGTGCGTAGCGGCCTCTCATGACACTGTTTTCTTTCTCCGTCTCTCTTCTGTGCTCCTTTGGAATTAGTTGGGGAAAATGCAGAGCTACGTGCGCTACGGGGGGAAATATTACAGGCTAGACAAGTGAAATCCGTGATTGTCAATTTGTTGCAGTACCTTGTCGGCGTAGTGTGTAGAGCTGTGAGGTGTTTGCATGGCGTTCAGGCCATTTCCCTCACCCACTCACGCAGCTGTAGGTTTTCTGTGTGGCAGCTTGGCCTACAGAAACCAGAGATCAACTTCAATGTAAGCATCTTGCCTAAACCACTGAAACGGTCCATTGCACTCAAAGCTATTTTAACAGCAGGTCATGGGAATGCATGTCAAAGAGGCCTCTACTGCATATCTGTATGAATATAAACATTTCACCTGTCATGACTTTTCTTTCTTTCTTTGTTTTTGGTATTCCTTCTCATGTTAGACTCCCCTGGTGATTCCTATGTTCTTGTTCCCAACATTTATGTCGGCAAAAGTCCAAATAAAGGCCTTTTAGTGGCCATCGCATTATAAAACGCATGTAACTGTAATGTAAAGTAACGCGGACGTGAACCTTAGAGAGCAAATTATTTGATTGCACCAGAGGACACATGTAGTGAAGGGTGTGGGTATAAATGTCACCTACCTGTGAAGGTCAGCAAAAGCTGGCTTGTGGTGTCCTTGTTGTAGGAGCGTGTTTACATTCATAAACTACAATAAAACACAATTTATAGGACCGAGAGGGTTAATTATTTGTTATTATAAATAAATAACACGTACTGTGTTTATGTCCAGGTTACACACTGGTGACCTAATTTCACTTAGACCACGTGGGAGGATATTTGATATAATTTTACAAATGTAACCGGCATATGTGGGCCTAGCTTATGAGCCTGTAAGTGTTCGGTAATGACGGTTGGTTTTATGGGGTGAGTGTGGTGTTTGCAGCCATAATGATAATGCAGACAGTAGTACAGTAACTGCATAAAGACAAGGGCTAGTTGCAATGGTTGCAAAGACCTAAATGTTTATCGCCGGTTATACGACATCCACAGCAAAGGCTATGTTTTCAGTGGCTCCTTTGTTACCACATTTGACTGTGCTGGGTGGCACAGGACGATTCTTGAGTACTGTGTTGCCAGTTTTACGCGGCATCTAAGCGGCGCTGTGCTGCGACCTTTCCCCTAGTTTCTGCAGCACAGGGTGGATCATGTGATGTTGGAAAGTAGCTGGGGGGAGGGGACTGGCTGCTGAAACGCTGCTCTGTGGATGCTGTTCCTTCAGAGGAGTGGAAGAAGCGACGTGTACTGCTTTCAGAGTGCTCTCATTGAATGAAATAAAAGTGGACCCTGTAACAAAAAAAGGAAAAAAGAAAGAAATCCTTTAAAAGAAGATGGTCTTTGCAGAGAGACATCTCTTTGGAAATAAGGGCTTCATTAATTTTCTCCTGAATCTGTAAAACCTGAATCATGCTAGTCATTTTGAGGTTTATTCCATGGTAAATTTATGACAAAGCAGATGATCTGTGTATTAGAAGAATTATTTGAGGAAGTCTTATAAATTATGTTTAAAATATAACAGAATTTGTGCACAGCTTGTCAATTTCATTCATGTTTCTTCTAAGCCAAT